AGGACGGTTCGTTGAGGTCTGTAGCTACGACAGCCTACCACATCTCCACGATGGGCAGTTTTGCATCAGCAACACGGACAACATCTACCCTCTCCATGATCATGACAGGTAACTGTTTGTCGTACTGGAATGCATGTGCTTGTCTTCGATAGCTTTGGACGTGCGCTCGCTGAAATAGAGGAAGCAAATACAGAGCCACAGCTGCGCAGATATTTTCTGGAGGCCTTTCACGAGCGGGTCATGGTTACGAATATGTTTGCTGTGCAGAGTCGAGCAACGGCTGTCAGCGGGTGCCATGCTGTCCTGGCGGGGTGGCTGTTTATAGAAGAGGGTACTATAGAGGGCTTTTAAAAAGATTAAGGGGGATGTTCGGTGAAGCTAATGATAAGAAGGTGCTCGACCTTATGCCTCTGACCACTGGCGGTGGTCCTGACGATTTCGAAGCTGAAGAGAAGTCGCCTACGACACGTCGTAGTGTCGAAACCGTCGTCTCGACAAAGAATGGTCGCGTTTCTACGGACGGAAGCGTTGAGGAATGCCTCGCAGAAGCGTACTACAGTCCTGCCGGGTACTGACGCGGCCGTGCTGCTATCCCAAGGCTGGCTAAAGAGGCTGGCGTCGGCGAGGATGAGGCTCATGAATGGCTAACAAAACAGGCCATCTGGCAGATCTACTTGCCCGCACCAGCGCGAAGTGATATTCCTCGACCTAAGTTTGACATCAGCACCACGAATGAGGTCCACCAGGCCGATCTCTTCTACCTGCCTCACGATCGAGTCGGAAGACGCACATTTAAATACGCATTGACGGTCGTTGACGTAGCAAGTCGGTATAAGGAGGCCCAGGCAATCACAGACAAGACAGCGACCCAGGTTGGGAAGGCGTTAGGGTCTATTTATGCCCGTAGGCCTCTTCGATGGCCTAAAGTTTTAGAGGTCGACCCTGGCTCGGCGTTCCGCGGGGCTGTGCAAAAAGCGTGTGATAAAAATGGTGTCACGATTAGACGGGGTAAGGTCGGGGCTCATAGAGATCAGGGGATCGTACAAAGATTCAACCGAACTTTGGCGGAGCGATTGTTCGGTTACCAGTATCATCGCGTGCTGGCTGATCCCGGAACTCGGAACAAAGAATGGGTATCAAGATTACCTGAGGTGGTTAAAGCGCTCGATAATGAAACTACCCGATTGACGGGCGAAAAGCCCTCCCTTGCGATTCGGAAGAAGAGCGTTAAGGCCAAACCCGCTGCGCCAGCGCTTCGTCTATTGGTTTCAAAGAGCAACGCTTGCCATCGGATGTTATGGTGCGGTATTTGTATGCCCCTGGCGAACTCGAGGGTGGCGAACGGCGTATAGTGACCGATCCTATCTGGAGTGTGACCTCCCACCAGGTCGAGCGAGCTGTGGTTGAGGGCGGGAAGCCTTTGTTGTATTATTTGAGCGATGGGCCCAAGCACGGGTTTGTGCGCGAGGAGCTCCAAGTGGTGCCCTTTGAGATCGAAACACCGCCGGCTTAGTCGATGGGGTCCTGTCACGCTTTTTATGAAAGCTTTCACTACCATGTAATACCTTGCGCTTAGCCGTGGAGCAGCTCTTCTACTGTAATTATGCTAGCGTAATTACACATTTCTTTTTTCTTCGCCTGCGGCACCGGCTCTCTATGCCCGTATGCTAGGGTAGAGATCCCATTGGCTGCGATCTAGCGCTTCGTGTCCGGTGGGCTCAACGATGTCTTGTTGACGTGCTCGCCGAAGATCTGATGCCCGCGACTGCGCAGCATATCCTTACCGTGGCGGAAGCGCTTTGCTTCGAAGAGCACCTCTTTGTACTGGGCATTAATGATATGCTTTTCCACAACGGCCTTTTTAACACATTTGGCTTTGCGCTCCTCCAGACCATCGGCTTTCAGGATAGAGTACATCGTGGGCCTGAGCCCCACAAACTCAGCTATAGGCGCCCCTGTGCACTTGTCCTTCATTTTCCCCAGCACCTTCTTGTTGGCTGAGCAGCGGATGGTCTTTGGGATAGTTGCTGGTGTCGTACTGACCGGCGTTGTGCCTCATATCGGCGTAAACATCCTCAGTTTGGATCTCCAGCACAAGGCTATCGGTGTCGGTGTAGAGGAGCTCTGCTGACCACCCGTACTGCACCTTGAGATAGTTGTAATACCAGTAGTACATCAGATGCTTCGAGAGGTCGAGAATGCTCATGCCCACGAAGACAGGCCGGTTGAGCAGCAGACTGCTTTTATTCATGTGGACGGCTGCGAGGTTCCCCGCATCGCCAAAGATGAGATGCCGATTGGATGTCGGCTTGGCAATAAGTTTGCGGAGTCTCTCGGTCTCGCTTGGAGGAGCAGCTTAACATCAACACGCTTTTGGAGGTTCTCCATCGTCTTACAAAGACGATTGTTCAGCAGTTGTAGAGGTTGGCTTCAAAGTCACTCTTTGCTTTCTTCCGGAGTTCGGTGTTTTTCCGGATGTAGGGCTACATCCATGGGCTTAGATCGAAGCGGAGTGCCCAGTGGATTTTTTCAGGCGCATGCCAAGCTGCAGATAGAGCTGCAGATTCCGATAGGCAGGACGTATCGAGTCTTGTCGCGCAGATTGAAGACCAGCTTTTCGACCTCGTGAGACGCACCCCAATACAACTGTTTGAGGAGATTTTGCTGGTAATCCGACATCCACGCGTTGTCGACATTCAGGCGTTCTGGCGCTAACGGATATGCATTGTGCTCATCGTGCAGTTCTTCTGAGTACTCCAGATCGACTTCGAGAATGTAGCCCTTCCCTGCATCTACAGGCTGGTGTAGGGCCGCCTTCACATCCTCTTTGGCGACCCACTCAAACGCGCCTGTCAGCAGCGCTGCCACATCGCCCAGCCGTAGAGCTTGTTGACGTCGTAGTACTGGATCCAGCTTTGGGGCTTCCCCGGATCGTAGTCTGGCACCTTTTGGGTTGTTGGCTTGGCGAAGCGCCTGCAGGCCACGCTGATGCCGCCGCGCAGGCCCTTCTCGATGAAGAGATGCATGTCAATTCGGTGAGCAGCTCGAGCTCCACCCCTGTGTGCTTGAGGAGAGCGTCCCAGCTTAGGCCCGGGCTCGTGTAATAGTGGGCCGGGTCTAGCCGGTATCGCTCAAGGCACAGCTTTCGGAAGATCTCGAAGACATCGGCGAGGAAGAGGACATTGGTCCGAAGGTAAAGATCGTGGTAGTCGCCGAGGGTTGTACAGCCGAAGGCGTCCCAGACCTTTTTCCGTGGGCATAGTCGTTATCGGTAATGCCTTCATCGGAGGGTTTGCAGTAGAAAGCCTCCTTCGGCGGGAGGGATTCGTCATCAAAGAGATGATGCACTCTCTTTCTTGGTATTATAAATATCGGTAGATTGTAAATTTTCATTTAGCAGAAGTTGACACCTGAGGAGTAGTCTGCCGAAATGCATCGTGTCGTTCAAGTTAGAACTACTGGGTTAGTGCTCTTTACTTAAAACAGTTCTTTTAAGAACTATCAACTTATTATATTACTTTTACCATTCACTATGGTATTTGCTATCTTTAGGACAATTTTCAGATTTGTCACCATGACAAAGTCTCTATTTTATTATTTAAAAAACCCAAAATTGAACCCTGATTGTCGTTGTAATGCACTGCTTGCATTACTTGCTAATAATGCATTATTTGAATTTTGTCGCTTAATAAGTTTGAGCAATAATTTTCCAATTTTCAGCTCCATAGCTGTTACATTTCTTATTGAAATAAGTGACCGTCAATTTTTTACTCGTTTCCTGGCTGGAAACATTGGATTTCTTTTAAGTCATGTGAGTAGGCTACAGATGAACCAATCACATTTGACAAACACAGCACCTATATAACATACATATTTACATACCTTATATTATCATACTGTGTAGTCTTCAACAAAGCGAAAGCACCTTGATAAGATGGTTGACTGTACCAAGCATGAACGATTCATTTCTCTACCATTCCGTCTTCATTTATTTCAGGATGAATTTCAGTAATTTGCTCAATGACCTCCCGCTTTACTTGCTCTTCTGACCGAGAACCAAACATTAACGCCTCACTCTTCCAAGTATATATCATCAGTAAACCCTTCTTTTGATTTTCTGATTCTGGCATCACATAATGTATCTGGCCAATTGGTAGGTTGGTTATGGAAAATCCACCATGTATACTTTGATCTTACCAAAATCGACGTTTTGTCTGAATGAATATCTTTGTGAAAGGTTCGGTGAAGATGTCTTCAATTGCTTGTTGCGTTTTGCGCAAGGCTTCCATCGTGTTTTTTTATGATGAAAATATGGCTTGAAAGTGATTTGACGCAATATTTTCACGGGTAGAGTGACAAGTGCAGCCTTTGTAAAAAAAGATAAATTTATTGTTCAATTGCAAAAGTTGACCAAATTCAAGTTTTCAGAGAATAGGCTTTCTAAATTTTTTTCCCTGAGCGAGAGAAACTGCAACCATTCTGCAATTACACATACCTGTGCTCGGCTTAGTTAGCTATAAAATAACAACAATATAAAGCGTGCGCTGATTAGTCTATAGCTGAGATTGCATCAGCCTGTGAAAACTGATCTGAGCTCAATTAATACAGGTTTCACGAAACGTTACAGCATTTGTTTGAAATTATTTGTTTTGCATTATTATTTTGGAAAAGAAATGAAAGATTTCTTGTGTTTGCATTTGCTCACTGAACTTCTTTGCTCTCAAATTATCGCTCGTAGCGATTTCCATCACTGCTTAAAATTGACTTTGCATTTAATTAAATGGAGCAAGCAAAGCATTGTGAAGAGACCGTTGTAAGGATTCATGATATAATGTTATTAGTTGGTCACAACTTTTTGCGGCTGAAATAGCTGAACTTTGATTAAATACATGAATCAATCGAAACAATCTAGCAAATATGCCATCACTAGTCAGGAAAAATTGCTCATTGCATGCCTTTTTGTATATGCATTAAAAACACTGTATCTTACTTTGCCCTGATATTTTATTTCCTCATTTCATTTCTCTTGGTAGTATGTTACAGTTACCGAGTCCACACTGGGATTTTTTTTGCAAAAAGTGTAAGCAATTTTTGTTACAGATTGATTGAAAACGACGTCAGTTCTTTTATCCAACTTGTTGTCTTCATCATTGTCGCCAAAGAGAAGCTTTCGGCAGTGTTTCCATACCTCCTGCCAAACAATGCATATTTTCGGACGACCAGCCTCCAAGTTGATCACGCAACAATGCAACTAAAGATACATCGAGCTGCACATTGTAAGAAGACACTGAGTAACTTCGCAGTGCATCATTGGACCAAGGAATAAGATTTCCAATAGTATTCAAATCAAGATCACTTCGATCAGAGCCCTTGACTTTTGAAAGAATTGTGTCCAAAGTACTCTTGAGGAAATTTTCCATGGTAAATTGACTCCAAATTCTTAACCAACGATTCCATTGTTTGATATCATATTTGACATCATCATAATAACTTTTATTCAACCATGCACGCAATTGATCTGTAACTACTCCAGTTGTTTTCTTGTGGTAATCATCTAAAACATTTATTTATATTTTAGTCACCAACAATTTAGTGTACCGCTAAGCTCATTTTAAGAATTTCTATTTGGCCTCATAAATCTTGATGTTCTTACAGGCAAACGTTAATCTGCAAAGAAAATTATTTATGAATGATAAAAGGCCAGTGATTTACTTGGCAGGAAACGGATTTGTATTAAAAAGACTACTGCGCATGAAAATATTTAAATTCTTAAATATTTTATTTTAATTTTTTACAATGCAAATTGGGATAAACGAGAAATTGCGTGGGCAAGTACGAGCACGAGATGTGAGTGTTGCCAACTGAGCAAAGCTCAATTGACTGAGCACAAGTGTTTATATTACTTAATAAAAACAAGTAATTATGTTTTTTATTTCTTTTGTAAAATGAATGTTTACAAACAACATTTAAATTAATTCATTTTAATGGCATGGCATGGCATATTTATACATGGCATATTTATTGACTTCAATGGCATGTTTATATTTTCACCTTAAAATTACCCGCATAAGCTACGCAACCTGCGAGATTTTTGCAAGGCTTATGTCTCGTAAAAACACAGTTTTTCGAGCATTCGTCCAATCAATGCCCGTTTTTAAAAGAATATTTATAAATTTTTTATTTTTCTAATGGTTAATCTTGAAGTACCATGTTGGTAAGTTTTAAAATAATAAAGGTTTATTAATATTGCTGTGAATCTTCAAATTAGAAAGTGCAGTCGAGAAATAAGAAATCAAGCCTAACATTCCCATCTGCAGCTAGTTACAAATTTTGCACGTATTTTCCCCTTTTCTTTAATTGACTGAATTAAGTTCAACTGCATTTTATTTCTTCATGGTGTCAAGTTGAATAATCTATTATTTTAAAAATAGTAGGTAATGTAGAGTGATAGTTAAACATGACATGTTTTGTGCTCAAATATGTATATCTATCATCTTCATACAAAGCTAATAATGTATTAAAGCTTGTACAAACCGATATCTTTAACATGGCAACTTCGGATTTTATACCCTCTCGCCATTTAGGCCATACTTTATCAAAATATTTACTTGTCTATTCTATATTGAAAAATAAAAATATTTCAATTTGGTTAACACAACCCGTGCTAGTTGTAAAATGTTTTATTAAGAGGGTGTGGGTGGGGGAAGTTAGCCTAAGTCTTCGTGAAACAAGCAAGCTACGCTTCGTTTCAGCGTAAAATACAACAGAGGCTTTGCAAAGTAGAGTCACAAACAGAAGTAAGTGTCAGCCATTCCCTCCATGATCATGCAAAACTGCTTCAGGACGTGGTAAAAAAGACAACTGTTTTTTTTTGTTGAGACGTTTCAAGGTAGCTAATAGAGTGGGGATAATATATTCATTAGGGATATTAATGATTAAATGTTCTCTTTAGCCATGGGAGGTTTAGCAAAAGTTCCTCAGGCTACGCCCTCGGACTTTTACTAAATCTTCCTCGGTTTGTGAGACATTTTGTGGCTGATTACATGAGAGCCCGGGTAGCCGGCATTACGCCTAGCGTTAAATGATTTTGGCAGAGGGAAACAATTCAATACTTATCATCAGATAAATCTTTTCGAGCAATTTCACAATATTTTGATTAAGAACTACGCAAAATATTTAAAATTGAAACAACCAATTTAGCCTAATTTGAGATTTACAGCAGAAATGACTTCTAGCGTTTAACAAACAGTTTTGATTTTTAACCTTGAAGTTTTGACTCCTTTCAATACCTCGAAATCATTTAACGCCTCACTGAATCTCGGTTAGCCGAGATCATGCAAACAGCCCCTTAATCACTTCCTGAAAGCAGGCGATTACTTTTAATAAAGCTTAATTGAAATAATATGCATTTATAAATATAAGTCCCCCCCCCTCAGAATCTTAAGCTGAGTAATGATTTCAAAAATACGACCATTATTACTTACAGCCTTTTTTTTATATCAAGTAAATTATTAAAAAAATTCTTTTTAAGAAGATCTAAGCGACTGAAATGAAAACAGAGGAGAAGTTATCTTTATATTTCAGTGTAAACTTTATGTATATGAAGCCTTGTCATGGAGTTAATTTTTCAATTAATTTTTCCTCTAAAGCTTTTAAAAACTCGAAAATAAAAAAGTATTTTGAAAGTAGCTTTATGTAATTTAATAGGCACAAACCGATGGTTTTTTCTTGGAACTCATAAATTTTGGAAATTCCATTTTTATCGTAGTTGATAAACGGCTGGGTTTTAAGGTTGAATTGTTTAATATATCCATCTGTAAGGTAATGTTTTATGTCTTTCGTATCGCCGTCTTTGCCAGGTAATCTCTTTGCTCCAGCTGAAATTGTAAGACATTTTTGCATTAATTACAGAATTTCAATCTCTAAAAACTTTTCCCTAACATTTATATGCAATAGTATTCATAATGCTATAATTTTCAGTTATCTATCGTCAAAAAGATTCGACCCTTTATCAAACATATCTTAGTTTTAACTGCAGGTCCAACGCAAAAGGTAAAAAAAACAAAAAATGGTATGATTCTGATTGCCTAATGTTGAAAAAGATTCTGAGCAATTTAGGTATTTTACAAAAAAGAGAATATAAACGTACAATAAAAAACAGAAAAGACAATTTCATAATTCATTATTGCAACAAATTGATATGTTGTCCGACAATAACCCTAGAGAATTTTGGAGACTAGTTAATGCCTTTAAAACAAATAGATCTTGTGTGTCAAACGAAATATCCGCGTCGGAATGGTTACAACATTTCCAAAATTTAAAGAAAATGAATTTTAGCGCGTCTAAATTAAGCGATGAAACCCAAATCGTAAACGATTAGAATATTTGGGCAGCCTCCAGAAATGACATCCTTCACCAACCAATCACTTATGAAGAAATGTGCAAACTTTCTGTGAGGTTGAAAGACAAAAAAGCTAGTGCGAGTGATTCAATATCCAATGAGATAATAAAGTTAGAAGTAAAATCCATGCCATCGTACGTCCTAAAATTATTTAACATCGTCGTAACATACGGATTTTTCCCATCAATATGGTCCAAAGAATTGATTGTACCAACACATAAATCTGGAGACATAATTGACCCAAATAATTATCGAGGAATTTGTATTAGCAGCTGCCTAGGAAATTTTTTACCTTAATTATGAATACACGCTCAAACAATCACCTGGAAGAGGACAGAATTATTAGGAAATGTCAAATTGGGTTTCGTAGAAATTGCAGAACAGCAGATCACCTGTTAGTTCTATAAACTATAATAGACCAATTCAAATCAAAACGAAAACCAATTTTCTCTTGTTTTGTCGATTTCAAAAAAGCTTAGGATAGTGTTTGGAGGGATGGACGTTTCTACAAAGTATCTAATATGGTTGTAGTAAGAAGTTCATACGCCTTATGATGAGTATGTATGCCTCAATTGATTATTCTATAAAACTAAAACAGGAAACACCACCTGTTTCAAATCCTATGTAGGTGTCAAACAGGGATGTAACATGTAACCTAAGCCCTTCGTTATTTAATTTGTTCATTAATAATATACCTAATGCATTTAATAACTCATGTGACCTCGTAAGTCTTGGAAAAACAGAACTGAACTGTTTACTTTATGCAGACGACCTGCTACTTGTTTCTCAGTCTAAATCATGATTACAAATTTGTCTTAACAAACTCAAACTATCTGCCGATAAGTAGAATATGTGCATTAATCTAAAAAACGAAAGTCATTGTGTTTGGAGCACCAAACCAACGGCTCAAAAGCTTAACTACAAACTGATTACATTCAGCCCTGCTTGAGCTACCCAGGGCTGAAATCTCAGCCCTGTGCTGAAATTAGCACCGAGGCTGAAAATATCTCATGTAATTGTTTGATACCCAGGGCTGAAATCATTGAGCATGTGTGGTAGCGAAGAATTGTGCGCAACATTGCACATGACCAAAACAAAATGGTGTCAACAATACACGAGGATATCCTACGATCCGGAAGATACAGAAGCAGAAAGTGCGATTATCGTCCCAATAAAGAAATTTCGTTGCGATAACAACAAAGTTGACAACCTTTTAAGGAGTCTGAGCAATTATAAGACGCTTATGGAGTCTAAGAATAGTGATTTTAACGCAGATAAAGTAAAGCAGTACGAAGCTGTCAGACGTGAGATGGCTTCCATTTATGCCAATGATCCGTCACAGTTGATGAGCACCGAACATTACAAATCGATAAAAGTTTTTGTCAGCCTTGTTTACAATTTTGGATATTCGTGCGAAATTCATTACTTGCGCGCAATTACTCAAGACCTCTGACTCAGATTCGGGGTGGAATGCTGCCATATAATCGTAAAAAATTTTCAGCCCTGACAAAAGGGTTCAAAAATTCAACCCCGGGGTTGAAATGCTTCATGTAATCAGGCCCTTAAACGAAATCAAAAAATACTCTATGGTAAAGCACTACGTGCTTACCACACTCTCTTTAGACAGTTTTCAAACGTTGAAAATATACCAATAAAGTTACTCTTAAAACTGTTCTCTTCACTGGTACAACCAGTTTTACTGTATTGTTGTGAAATATGGGGACCGTTGAGTTATTTAAAATGTTTAAAAATAAGACTTTCAGATTAACTAACTTTAAAGAGAGTTTACACCTAAAATTTTGTAAAAGAGTTCTTCGTGTGCATTTAGAATCTACCAATTTGGCTGTCTATGGAGAGCTAGGGAAATATCCACTAATAATAAAAATTGCTTCACTAATAGCAAAGACAACGTAACGCCACAAAGTAACGAGAAACCTCTGCCTCAAAAGACCAGTTACACTTAACAACGAAGAACAAAAAGCTATTAGAAACTTACGAAACGACGAAGACATAGTCATGCTACCAGCCGACAAAGGATGCAAAACTGTAATCATGGACAAATCAGACTATATCAACAAAGCGAAGACCCCCTTACAAGACATCAACACGTATGAACCTATACAAACAGACCCCAACAAAACCACTACCAACCGCATCAACAAGAAATTAAAACAACTAAAAGACAAAAAGAAACTTAACGAAACCGTCTACAAAAGAATCCGACCCAACGACTCCTCCACCGCCAAATTCTATGGACTACCAAAAATTCACAAAGAAAACAACCCGCTCCGACCAATTGTATCACTTCCTGGATCTCCTACGTATGAACTATCAAAATATCTTTCTAATATTCTGCACCCACTAGTGAAATCATCACATCATACTATCAAAAATGCCACCGCTTTCCTCACCAATATTAAAAAAGTAAAACTAAAAACAAACGAAATCATGATATCTTATGATGTAGTGTCACTTTTCACATCCATACCACCAAACATAGCCAAACAAGTCACAAACGAACTACTTACTAACAACAACTCGTGGAAAATCACAACCGAACTAGACCAAGACGATGTCATCGACCTGCTCGACCTCTGCCTCTCCACTGAATTCTCCTTCCAAAATTCATATTACCGACAAATCTCAGGAACACCAATGGGTTCCCCTTTATCCACCTTCCTTGCAGAAGCTGTTATGCAACACCTTGAAAAGCAGTCAGTCACCAACAACACACACATCACACTATGGAGCACCGAGTTGAAAGCTTAATAAAAATTTCAAAATAAAAATCCAGAGAATCCTTAATATTATCATATTAAATATTATGTATTTAAAATAAAACAATGATATGTATATATAAGTTTGAAGATTGGTAATCCAGGCATGTTAATATTTAAAAAACGAAGGTTTCTTCGGATTTTTTAGAAATAATTCTATTGAGGTTTTGACTCGGTGCTTTGAGCCTTCTTCAGAATAATAACGTTTAGAGCGTCTAATTAGATTATGGATGGATTGAGATGATTGGATGATTTGGAATGCGTTGTTATGAGTTTTAGTGTATTGTGAATAGGACTGGTGTTGATATTATTAGAGTATGTTATTGTAGGCTTAATGTAGTTTGTAGTTCTCCTGTCCTTTTCTTTAGTTGTGAATATATGATGGCTATGTCAATATATGTCTGTTTATTGTTTCGTTGTCTTTAGTACGGTGGCCCACAAAGGTTACGGCAAATTTAGTAACTCACGGCCACTTCACGCTAAATCCACGGCAAAAATTTACTAATTCGATCAAAACCATGTTAATCCCACGACAAAACCACGCCAATTCCACGGCAAAACAACGCTACTTTCACAGCGAAAGTAAAACACACGGTAGAAGTGAAAAAAAAGCATCGTTTCTCGACCTCCCCCTGATGTCTATAGCTAATTATACAGAATTTTTCAAAAACAATGCATTTCTTTTAAAATGCCAACACTTCAATCATTTAATTGTTGGATATCGTAGTGTCCACAAAAGGAACATGTCGCTTTCACAGGTAAGATATTTGTTTTGTTTGTTCATCAAAAATTGAAAAGCAATTTAACTTGAAGCCTGAGCGATAAAATCCGAGTGATGTTTTCCTGTCTTTGTTTTTAAATATCAACATACTTTCCACTTATTTGTTAATGTGTGAAATCGTAAATCTGTTTACAAAATAGTTTCCCTGACGCAAAAAAAGATTCTGCTCTTTTTACTCAGTGCGCAGATACTATGAAGAAACGATCACCTCCAAAGAGAACCCATGAAGTAAAATGATCGGATAGCAAAATTTTTCTGGAATGTGGTGCAGTATCACTATTTCATAGATCACTATATTAAGACAATTGGAAGATGCTATTGACCAGAAGAGTCAAACTGCAAAATGATAAGGCTGAATACAAACAAAGGTAAATGATTTACAGACTTCCCTGTCTAACAGTTATTTGAACTTGGACTAATTCATGGATGGAGATAAGGTCAAGTACCAAATAAAGATAACAAGGTTATGTGTGTCTTGATGCTTGATGAAATGTCATGAAATTGATTAATTGATTGATTAAACTTTATTAAAAAGAGGGTAACACGACAAGTGTGAAAAACTTGTGGCCCTCAAACTAACAAACTACGAGATAAATTACAATTTAAAAACCAGAATTACACAAGACTAAAAATACTAAAAAACTAAATAATAAATTATTCTATGAGCATATCTGAATTAGCTTTATCATAAAGTTTCTTTTTAAAAAGTGTAGCTGATGAAAGTTTACGCATAGTAAGAGGTAGACTGTTCCAAAATCGACTTGCAGTAGCAGCAAAAGATCGTCCACCATCATTTTGTCTCTTCGTTTTGGGTAAACAAATAGTTAAGTCTTTATAACGAGTATTTCTATTGTGGCGACTGGCATTTGTTGGTAGAATATCAATAATATAAGATGGACAGTTACCATAGAAACGTTTATGACAAATAACGTTTATGACAAATAACGAAAAAGGTCATAAAGTTTGTGCTTATGTCAATACTGATACTGATATTGATGACGACTTACTGCAACTGTACAATCCATGCAGTATGTTTTGTATAACTAAATTGTAAAGTCATCTGACATCTTTATTAAATTATTTTAGTAGAATGTTGTTTGAATGTTCTTTATATGTAATGCATGCCATATTGAAGCATTAAAGATTCAGTGATGAAAACTTCAGTGCTTTATATTTCTTCTTATTTTCAGTTTTAGCAGAAAAAATATTTTGAGCTTATTTACCTAATAAAGTACAGAATGGACATTTGCCATTTGCTTTATTTTCTACTTACAGAGAAATGTTTTGACTTTTCCAAGTTTTTCTTCAATTTTTTGCTTCTTAATTCATCTCATAATATGAATGAAATACATGTAGTACAGTTTAATAACTCTTTAATTTCTGAAAAGCTGTTAAGCTTCTAGGATTAAAGAACACAAAATGTGTTTAATTCATTTGGTTTTATTGCCTTATTTTTACATGTGTACATGCACTTTATTATTCTTGTATAAACAACACCAGATGTTGCATACTTAGAGGGAAAAATCCCATAGCAACTGGTATCAAATATGGGTATAAAATTTATTATTGAGGTGAAATCTGTATTAGTCAATCAAATTCTGAACTCACATTGCTAATAACTCTCGTAACAATAGAAGTTCGGCACAGTCCGTTGTCTAGTAGACTGGGTTATACACGCATTAAAATCCCACTAAGTTAAATTTACAGCTTATTGTGCTACAATGAACTGAACGGCATTATCATTTCCTTATTTACACTCGATTCATTCGTTTCCAGATTTTTCATCGGAGTAGAGGGTCTTCATTTCGGAATGGAGTGAATGAATCTTGTCTGGAATATAGTGTAAACTTTCCTATATTGATAAGAAAACCATTAATAAATAATTAAATACCAAAAAATACATACGTAAAATAGAACTTTGATTGGTAATCATTTGAAAAGTACCCCACAAATTTCTACTACACCACTTGCTCATCACTAGAGCACATTACACATTTAATAATGAGCTTAAGATCACACGACGCACCTTTAGCACGACGACGTCGCCGAAGCCAAAAACAACGGCGGCGGCGTAGCAACCGACCTGATTAAGAAAATTGATCACCAACACCATTTGTATTTGTAAAGAAATGACTAGCTTTAGAAAAACTAAGGAATAACTTGCTGTAGCATATGATGCAAGCATAAACGCTAAAGAGTTGTTGTTATTGTGGGATGTAAACAGTTTCTTCTGCCATATTTAAGTCCAAAAAACTACAACACTTTGACGCCGCCGTGAAAACGACAAAAAAAGGAAGCGTCGTCGTGAGACCAGTGCTGCCACTCCGTATATGCACATTTCCCCAACCAAAACTTTATTTTCCCCCTACCTACCCATACGACTATTTTCCTTGTTTCCCCCTCCTTCCCCCTACACAACAACATATTGCCCTATTATATACCTATGTCAGGTCAGACCACTGAATTTTATAGTCCGTTTGTAAAAAAGTGAATACAAAAAAATTGAAAAACATCTGAACTACAAAGTTAGTAATTTGGTGTAAGACGTTGTGACGTAATGACATACAAGTGACGGAAATGACACATTGTGTTTATGCTAAATTGCTAATCTTCTATTGCCATACATGGTCACAAAATGTTGCAACAGAAAGTTTCTGTTACAATCACTTCTTAAATAGTGAGAACACAAGTAGAAAAGAGTATTTTGGGCAAAAATGAGAATAGACATTCTCATTGATAAACGATTTTCTTTTCTCCCTACAATCCCCCTTACATTTCACAGTTTTCCCCGTAGGTTTCCCCTACCAGCTACAAACCACTAAATCCCCAACTGTAGAAGATTTCCCCTACACGTGGCAGCACTGAGTGACATAACGCATCAATTTTCAAACAGACGCATGCGCAGTTATCGAAATCAAGAGAATGTACTTCCTGTCAGCGTCGTCCCAAGGGCGCGTCGCGGGACTTAAGCTCGCTAATATCACGCTGTGACTTATCAGTAGCGATGTAGAAATCAAGAGCACAAGTCGAGAATCGATAGTATTTATTTATACCATATAACAATGAGAATATTCAAGTAGCATAAACGTGCATTCAATAACATCAAAGAAAAGATCGTTAAGATAAAGTAGATGTTTATATAAACTTAAAGTTACTTTGTATAACAGAGAAGTGCGGTGTTGCAGTTGCGAAAGAACATCTGCGACAGACTATTTCTGTTGGAAAGACGTCTTCCGTACAAAGTTTAGACATCTTTATATGAATGACTGCTTGATCTTGTTGTTTCTTCCTTTGATTTTATTAAATGCACCCAATGCTACATGAACATTCCCGATTGTTATGCGGCATAAATAAATGCTATTGATTGTCAACAAGTGCTCCTGATTCTCCCTTCGTGTTAATAAATATTCTACAGCACTATTGATAAGTCAAAGCGAGTTATAATATAATATATGTGCTCTAATGAATGATGAGCAAATGGTGTATTGGCTAAGCACTTTCAGCTTTTTGGGCATGTACACGTCAACAGACACAAAAAATAATACGTTTCAATATTTAGAATTAATTATTAAATATTTATAGTGAGACTGCATAAAAATTACACAAGCAAATATTTATAATAGAACAATGTAAAACATATTCCTCACCCTTAAGGTTTCTTCAACAACAGGTAGGACCATATCAAGTATAAATCTTGCGTTTTCAATGATAAAATCGGCCTAAAATGCAATGACGTATTAACTTGAGCATATCAAACGGCTTAAAATTGAATATTTAGTATGTTTTTCTTCTAAAAGTTCAATTTTAAGGACCACGTACGGTCAAAAGAACATGCCCATTTACAATTGGAAAGTATTGGAATATATACTGCATGACTGACGAGCAAAAATTATTCTGTGTTATAATCAATATTTCGTGTTCGTTAAGCACATGAAATCATTCAAGTGCCCATAAGTGCCCATTTCAGGAAAAATTTTTATTTGCGATGTTAAATTTAGGTGTGATTTCCAACATTTAAATATGTCAAATCGTTCCATTTTTATGGCTGTGAAAAGTTGGCAAAAATGCACCTTTTAATGGATCTTGTTCGTCGTTTGAAAAGTCTGGAACGACTTACTTTTGTGACGTCACGCAAGGATCTCTCAATACAAGATATATATACCACAGAGATTATAAATCAAACTAGAGGTCACATTGATGACGAATTTAGGGAACGCGAGAGATGGGGGGAGGGGGTGGGTGGAATTTAAGTCCCGGATGTAACGCTTGTTAAACACGAAGTAAACAAATCGTGCTTTTGCCGTCTGCTTCGAGTTTTGGATTCTTTTTTAACATACTTTAATAATTTTTTTGCTCTTTTGTATGAGCATCAAGAAAATTTGTCATTTTCAAGCGTTAGAACTTGTTTTTAGCGAGCTTTTATTATGATTATATGTTATTTATAATCTCCGTATGCTTTGTACGTTTTAATTAAACTATTCGCAATGAAAACTTATGTTCTTCTTTTTTGTTTTTCTGTTTTTACAACCCACATATTCACATAGTTTAACCATTTTTGACATTTTTTCAGTATGGATAAAAAATTTATGTTTTTTGAAGTCTGTTAGCAGTTGAATTAAAGACGAAAAAGGTCTTTTTATCAAGCAATGATTCATGCACTTCTAATTTACTGAATGAGTATAAAAGCAGCACAAACATGTCAAGTTTCGCATAATACGAGTGGTTTAAACCATCTAAAATTACAATTAAAAAGAAAATAATGTTCAACAAGTAGATTGTGATAATATTTACAATAGTATTTACGTATATTATATATAAAAAGTCAAAAAAATCATAATCGGCCATTGTAGATTAAATTACGGGAATCAATTTTGCCCTCCAAACAACACGTACCATATTTTGGACTATAGATTATACCACAATGCCATTTCTAGTATTATTTATAATCTGATATTACAGTGGCGATTGATTTTCCAGGCGGGAAACTTAATCTGATAATGAACATTAAAGCCCAGCTTATTGCAAGAATATGAATTGCCATTGTTGAAAAAATTTTAAAGAAAGTATTTTCAACAATGGCAATTCATATTCTTGCAAAAAGCTGGGCTTTAATGCTCATTTTAAGATTATTTAGTAGGACTTACTATCGCAGGGGATTGCTACCACTCCCCCTCCCGAGTAGGCAAAAACTGCCATTTGCAAATTGCTATTGGGTGTTTTCCATCATTTATCATCTGCCATAAACGACATTAGACCAAATGGACTAAAAAGCACATCAATTTTTAAAACATGCGATTGATATGATGAGCAGCAAACTACAATATCTTGTATATTTTATCACTTAAGATAGACAAACTAATTGTGTCATCTTTTATTTTCAAATTCTCATATAACTAAGTGAATTTATAGAAGAACATGCAAGAAGCAACACTGTGTGTATGTATAATATACTAATATTAAATTGGGAATAATTGGACGAGCAGTTTTCCAAAGTTCAATTTACAAAAATTTGTATGCTAAAGGCAAGCGGAGCAAAGCAATTGCTTCATTTAAATTGTTGATCTTTACATGTACATGTTGCAGTTGACATGAAAGTTAGAACTCAGCCAATAACCAATTAGAGCATAATGATAATCGTTAATTAATAAGGGGACTGGACCCGACTGTTATTGTTGTTTATCATTCGTAAACGAATGGCTTCTGTATTTTGTTCCTCAATATATGTTTTACAAGATCCTTATTTCGTGAAATAGACTAAGTCTTATATATGATAAACAACAATAACAGTCGGGTCCTGTCCCCTTATTAATGATTATCCTATTATGCTCTATAAATCATGTTAACTGGAGCTTAAAGGATGTTTTTGTATTTTGTTCAATTTGTTGCCCACCAGCACAAGATCAACATATCCTTCAACACCAACAATTTTATGGTGTCATATATGTATCTCTCAGTCTCCCAGTGTTTGTGTGTAAGTATATTATTTGATTTCATCTGGATTCATGTTACTCAGTTGTTTTCAGCAAGGAATCACTTTAATACACATACAAACTTGAATGGTACATTCCATGTTGCAGCATTATCTATGGCACCATTAGCTTTCTATTTACATACATTATACACACAGTGATAATGGGCATGGAATTGATTAGTTGTAAGCACTGATTACACATTACGTTAAACAAAAGGGAATAAGACCTATTGGAGTCCACGTCTTTTGAACGCTGTAATGTTTGTTCCTTAAAATGATAAAATGCACTGCTATATAAGTGTCACGCGCTCGGAAAGCCGACGGCAAGCTCGAGCGAGCATAAGTATATCCGCTTCCGGTGCTTTACTTGCAAGGTTATAGAGACGTCCTCGAAAATTTAACGTCAAATTCATTGCTATTTTGAATGAAAACCGTTTTTAATAGATAAATACTTTATTGTCATTTGTGGTCCAAACGCTTTGTGAAGAGTAAAATCGTCATTCAAGGATAAATCGAACGAAATTTTCTTCTGTAAATGAACAGAGTCAACAGAGCGATGATTTAATGAGTTTAACATGTCAAAGCAAAACTTCCCTGTTAGTTCATTAGTTGAGTTATCCTGGAAAAATTTATAATTCGTCTAAGACTCTTGTGGACGTTGTGGTCAAGTATTTATGAAGCCGAAATATTTATAGTTAATTATGATATGTTCGTGTCAGTTTATTCCATAGTCATGTTGTGGTTATCAAATTGATAGATTCTCTTCCACAATAGGCTCTACTACAACTCTCAGTTCTGTACTTTTCGTGGCCATCACATTACACATACGTACATATTTTAAAACGAAAATCATTTGAGATGCTCAAACATTTATACTACATGAAACATTTCTTGGCTCTGAGACTGTAAAGTCACTATTGAGAGCTTTTACTTATTTATTGTCTACTTGTAATAACACATTAAATGTACTCTTGTCCACCATGTGGTCAATAAATATTCCTGACGTTAAAAATTCCAATGATAACATGAAAGCACATTGCTTTTCGAACAGAGTGAATCGCCTTGATGCAAATCCGCAGCCGTTAAAAAAAATACCACTGCTATTATTAGGTATTCTTCGCAAATTGTCTTTCTGTTCGTTTCAAATGTTTATCAATAGAAAAAAACATGCGTGCGCAACTTAACATTTTTATTATCCACTCCCCCACATTAAAAAATATTCTAAATTTTGACGTCATGCCAGGAAAAAACACCAAATCGAGATTTCACCAATATATAGGTCATGTAAAAGGACTAAGTCGAGTGACTTTACTGTTAAGAATAGTGTGCTTCCTCGCAGACGCTCTGCAGCAATAATCTCTATGATACATAGCAACTACCATGGATGACGTCACAATTGGGCTCGACTCAGACCTCATGCCACGACGAACAAGGTCCGTTGAAAAGCAAATTTAAACCGCCATAACAAGAACACGATTTGAACAATTTGAAAAAAAATTTTCACCGATACATTAGACATTATACCTAGTTTTGATATCGACAATAAGAAGTTTTTGCTGATGGGGGCACTTAAGGGCACAATTAAGTAGAATTTCTTTTAAGGATACATCTGAGTTGAAGAAATATGTTTATATATGCTACCTTGCAAAGTACCGTGTTAAACATATACCATATACAATACAATTTTCACTTCAGAAATAAAAGTAAATTATTTACCTGTTTCGCTTTACGGATAGAGTCAAGCTTTGAACGAAATAGGGAAACCTGAGTTTCGAACAAGTTGTGTAAACAATGAATGATGTCATGATGCAGCTGAAATATAATTATAAAACAAATACTTCGTTGGGTATACACACTTTACTAATATGCATGAAAATATTTGTCGATTCTTATTATCGCTTAGAAAAATGCAATTTATCGTAAATACCAAAGAAAAAAATTAGGAAACACAGTGCAAAAAAAAAGGAAATAAAGTGCGAATTTCTTCTCGAAAGTGCTCCTGATTGGTTTGTGAAACAAAGAAATGATCTAAGAGCCAATGAAAATAAAACATTTCAAAGGCGGGAAAGTAAGTTATTGTAAACAAAGTTATTGCAATGGCTGGCGTAAGTTTTAAGTACATTTCCTTTGTCAACCGAGTCTACAGTTCAATCGTATACAATGCTATTACTAAAAAAATATAGCTATGAACAGCATATTTGTCAAGGTGAATGACAATTGAGTAGTTCTTAAATAAATTGTAGAAAACCAAAAGAAAGATAGCAATAAAATTAAACGGCATGATACGTTTTAGCCGACTTCTCATCAGGTGGCAACTTGTTCCTGTTTTAAACGTCACTTTCCAGTATGAACGTTTTTTCATTATTTCTTGTCTTTAATGTAAACGTCAAGAGATTTTTTATTTCATAGAAGCAGACGGGGGCACCTGATGGGGGAACCTGCCGAAATGTATCATGTCATTTAATTTTATAGCCATCTTTATTTTGGTTTTCAACAGTTCCTTTAAGAACTACTCAATTGTCATTCACCATGACAAATACGCCGTTCAGAGCAATATTAAAATATAATTATAGATGTTATGATCGGTGACAAAAGGTTTGAAACTTTGAATATTCAACAAGTGAACATACATCAAATGTTTTTCCATCCAAAATATCTTCCAATAAAATCAAAATTGAGTTGCAATGCAGTAAATAAAGCAAAATAAATATTGACAAGCTCTATAATTAAACAAGAAATTTGTGTAAGAAAAAGTGTATGCTTACATCAGAAGAATACAAGTCAAGACAATCAAAAGAAAGCGACAAACACTCTTGATGAACGTTATGGTTGAGTTGCTCAGATGTACTGATCTCTGATCTCCTCTACAACAAAATTCAACATTTCAATAAGAGCAATGTCATCTTGGTTTCCGGTTTTATCCAAAGTATACTCAAATAACATACGTATATCTAAAGCAAGTGCAATGAGGATGAAATATTAAAGTAATAGATAACATATTCCGAGTTTCTGTCATTGAAAGTTCGGGAGAAACGAGGATTTGCGTGGTTAGCACAAGCACGAAGTGCGAGTGTTTCCTAGCAATTTCTAGTTTCTCCCAAGCTTTCACAAATATTTATATACCTAAATAAAAACAAGTAAATATGCTGCTTTCTATTTCGTTTGTAAAGTAGCCATTAAAAACAATATTTAAAAGATAAATGAATTGATTTAATCGCATGTTGTTTATATCTTTACATGTTTGTAAATGATGATCGTCCAGGTTAATAAAGTCCTGAGAAGGATTGTTGTTGACTGACGTTTCGAGAACCTTAGCGGTAGTCATCTTCAGAGTCAAATGAGGAGGAAACGTCAGGTTAGCCGTATTTGTTATCTGGTTCTTACGTCATTGTATTGTGTGTACAGGAAATGTGTATTGTCATTGTGGATTAGTGTGAAGTGAAATATTTTATTTTTAGTTGTGATGTGTGATTTAGGTGTGATGTTTTAGTTGGTGTGGTGTGTATTGTCATTGTGAATTAGTGTGAAGTGTAATGTTTTAGTTGATCGTTTGTTTGTATTGTGAATAAGTCGTTTGTTCCAAGTTGGTATACCAACTTTCTAATGTAAGCCGTTGTCTATAGTCAGTACTGTAAGTAATGCAATCCCAGTCAATGTTGTGCTTTGTCATTCGGTGATGTTCGGCAATGTGATTAGTTTTGTCTTGTTTCTTAGTAGCTCGTTTGTGTTCAGTAAGTCTTATGTTTGAGTTCCTGCTAGTTTCCCCGATATAGGAGGCGTGACAGTCGGAGCAGTTTATTTTGTAAACTGCACCTTGTCGTTCGTTGGGTTGTTCTTTGTTCCTTATGTTCGTTAGTACTTGTCGTAACGTTGTGATTGGTTTATGTGCGACACGTATGCTGTATGGTCGTAAGATACGCGAGATAGTCTCAGACGTACCTTTGATGTAAGGTATCGTTGCTGTTGTCACTGAGTTGTTCGTTTCGTTGGGTTCGTTGGGTTTGTAAGTGTTGCGATTGATAAAGCAGAGTTATAGTTGTTTTTGTCAAAAACAACTTTTGGTTTCGCTACGTAGATGACACAATCACAGCACTACATGCAGACGACATTGATGACTTTCATACTCACATCAACAAACAGAACAGCCACATACAATTTACCAAAGATGTCGACGAAAACGGAACTCTTCCTTTTCTCGACTGTGTGGTAACACATGACAATCAAAAACTACGAACAACAGTTTATCGCAAGCCAACACATACTGACCGACTACTAGACCAATCATCTTAGAACCCTACATCACACAAAGCCACCACAATCAGAACATTAACAAGACGTGCACAAATCATATGTGATTCACCGGACGCTCTACAAAACGAAAACAACTATCTTAAACGTGTTTTTGACAAAAACAACTATAACTCTGACTTTATCAAACGCAACACTTACAAACCCAACGAACCCAACGAAACGAACAACTCAGTGACAACAGAAACGATACCTTACATCAAAGGTACGTCTGAGACTATCTCGCGTATCTTACGACCATACAACATACGTCTCGCACATAAACCAATCACAACGTTACGAAAAGTACTAACGAACATAAAGAACAAAGAACAACACAACGAACGACAAGGTGCAATTTACAAAATAAACTGCTCCGACTGTCACGCCTCCTATATCGGGGAAACTAGCAGGAACTTAAACATAAGACTTACTGAACACAAACGAGCTACTAAGAAACAAGACAAAACTAATCACATTGCCGAACATCACCGAATGACAAAGCACAACATTGACTGGGACTCGGCAAAATGCATTACTTACAGTACTGACTATAGACAACGGCTTACATTAGAAAGTTGGTATACCAACTTGGAACAAGCCCCCCTGAACAGATCACAGCAATTACCGGCACCTTACAAACGACTTATTCACAATACAAACAAACGATCAACTAAAAACATTACACTTCACACTAATTCACAATGACAATACACAATTGACACCCACACATTACAACTAAAAACATCACACCTAAATCACACATCACAACTAAAAATAAAATATTTCACTTCACACTAATACACAATGACAATACACATTTCCTGTACACACAATACAATGACGTAAGAACCAGATAACAAATACGGCTAACCTGAAGTTTACTCCTCATTTGACTCTGAAGACTACCGCTAAGGTTGTCGAAACGTCAGTCAGTCAACAACAAAAACTGTAACGAGTCCTGAGAAGGACTTTTTAACCTGGACGATCATCATTTACAAACATGTAACGATACTCCCAGGTTCAAACCATTTACTTTATTGTTTATATCTTCGCCATTAAAGGACACATGCAACATAAAATTCGGATTGTTATTTTTGTACTTTACATAAAGGTATAGCTCCAACTAATAGTTCACCAAAGTTTGAGACTCAAAGGATAAATATTTTTGAAGATATGGAGCTTTAAAGTTGATGCTTTCCTGATAACGTATTAAAAATGCCCGACGAGCTAACGACGGCTACTGATGTCGTTGTGACGTAATAGTTGACATAAGCTAAACGCGGTCAATTGCGCGCTTCGTTCAAAATATACTTTGCCTGCATTAACAACACGACAATTTAGCATTGAAAATATGGTTTATTGTGCCGCATTTAATTATAGAAACGGTTCTTCTAAGAACCATCAAACGCAGCAAAAGGTTTCTTTTTTCGTTTCCCGAAAACAAGCGCATGCGAGATATTTGGATTGAAAAAATCCGACGCAAAAATTTGAAGCCAACAAAGAGCTCAAAATTGTGCTCGCAACATTTCGAGAGTTCGTGCTTCGTGCAAAATTTTGAAGCGATGCAATCAGTAGGATGGACAGCAGGACGGCTTCGCCTTAAGAAGGATGCTGTATCCACGATTTTTTAATACTCTGTGGAACCCACAAGTGTAGCCATCTAAAGGAAGCAACCAACAAATGTTAGAACTGCATTTGAGAAGAGACGAAGGCAAGAGGTGATTATTATAGTTATATTTAGCAATATTTGTTTACATTTATAAAAACTAAGCTATAGAGCATTACCAAATTGAGGACAATTTTATAATTTTAGATTATTGACGACGTTCTTGCAGAACATGACGACTTTCTTGTAGGCGACGACCACGATGTGTCGACATCGGATCGAAATGTTTGTGCGTTTTACCTCAAATGAAGTTTGTCTAAGATAAAGATGTCAAAATATATGTAGACAGCGAAACAAAAACATATACAGTGGTAACTAATTCAGACTAATGTCGTTTGATCTTTTCTTTATTATTTTAACTCATAGAAAATTCCTTAATGTACCTTAGAAGCGCAATGTGAAATGCCAAGCAGCCATAACAATCCGTCCGCAAAAACACGTAAGGTCAAGAACCACTCAAACAAAGTGCCAAATATGATAAGTAGAGCTATAGACTTTCCATTTCGGCCGTTTTGATTTTTGTGAAAAATCCAGCAATACGATAATTCTATTTAAAGGTTGAGTTAATTTCAACAAAAAATCATAGCACACAGACGACGTCATGTGAAATTGAACATTTTGAGGACAGCGCTGTATGGTCTGATACAGAAAGCACGTCGACGATGAGCAATAGCTACAATGGATCAGACTCTCACTCGTTTTCTTCACTCTCAGGCATAGGTCCAATGTCATGTGTACACGACCATAGCTGTTTTACGACAGCTTCGTTTCTACACACTGTGGCAAACTCTTCCTCTTGTGTGATACAAATATGATCGCCATGTATCAAAGGATCAGTATTGTTTACCTCTTGGCAACATATACTTTCCCGTCCTGTACTCATGACAACACAAAGCCACATTCGCACCTAAAGAAAAACATTGTTTTTACTTTGGGAAAAACAATGAAGCATCAATAAAATGCAACTAACCGTTCAACATTTCCAATTCTCTGAATGTATTTATCTTCGCTTTCCGATGACGGAGAATTGTCATTACTATGACCACCTTGCGCGTTGGCCAATAGCTCAAACATGTAAGGTTGTACCTCATTGTTATTGATGACAATATCATAATCGGCATCTTCTTCAGAAGAATCCATTAATTTTTGTTAAATAAAAAACAGTAATAGCAAACTACCGAAAGCCGTGCAAGCACTGCGTGCAAGTCGTAGAACGATATAAGAACGAAGCTTGTTTATGTCAACTATTACGTCACTCTTTCCCAGTTCCCAGACTTAAAAAATCTCACGGCGTTTTAGCAATGGTCATCGAATATCGTGTTTTTACCGATTATAACCCTAAATATCTTTTGAAATATTTTGCGGACGACTTTGAAACTTGGTACGTCTTATTTTCACGCTATAGGCATTACAATAAAATAAAGTTGTCTTCTAGCTTGCATGTGTCCTTTAAAACTTCCCGTACAAATCACGCAACCTGCGAGATTCGTGCGAGACTGAAGTCTCGCGAATTATGGAGTTATAACAACAAAGTTTTCCCAGCATTAAACCAAATTTTACAAATACGACATAGCCTATTTTGTAAGTTGCTGCAATTCAAACTTCGATGCAAAGTCGAGAAATACTACCGTAAATAAAGGCAGATACTTACGAAAGACAACGACAGTGTTAAACGTAATGATCCCCATGTTTTCCATTTCACGTATTAAATTATCCAGTTCGTCATGTCTATTAGTATAATCAACAGCTTGCCATTTTTCCTCCTGCAGGAAAAGTGCATTGAATAGTTAATATATTTTTTAATGGTTGTTAAAACCCAGTCTAGACTTGGTCTAGACTCTAAAACGTATGGAAAAATTGCCAGGTTTCCAAAGAGTGATAAGTTTCGGTGAAAGCCAAGTGAGAAATTTCACAAAAATACATGGCTTATACAAATGTCTAACTTGAAACAATATCATAGCAATATGTTTTACAGCAATTAACATTTATTCACTTAATTTTTTGCGTCAACACCGGATAGATCACGAAAGCCTACACATTTAAGTTGCCTAATATCACACAATGCACGCATTGAATGACGCTTTACTCGTTATTTAACAGACAACATTTTAAGTGCCTAAATCACCCTCTGGGAAATAATCTACTTAGATAGAGTTGACTATTTTAAGAACATTTGCGATATAATTTATAAGACGAAAATTTGACCTTTCTTGACACTTATGGGCCTCAAAGTTGGCTTTTTTCGTGTTTGACCGTTGTCTATACAGTTGTAGATACACGGTCATGACGTCATTTGTTGTGATAAGAGCTAAAAAAGTGGCCACGAGCCGCCGAATCTATTTTTTTATGTAATAAAATCAAAAAATTCCCAAAGAGTAGTTTGCTTTCTTTGTCCCCTAAACTTGAAAAATTAAAAAGCGTACATGATCAAATATCAAGCGTACATGATCAATAGGATTGAAGAAATGTATGGCTAGTTTAAGTCACGTGCTAGAATGTGACAGAATAAACAAGCAATGGCTGATCAATTTCGTTGAAATTGTGTAATATTCTTTTAGCTCAATACGTGAACTGCTTCAACTAGGTATTCTTAATGTCTTCATTTGCCCATTCAGGGATAAATTCAGATAAATATTCAAATAATTTCGCCGTTCGTATGTAATTTAAAAACAAGAAATATCTGTGACGTCAATTCCATGCGTCTGTCCTCTTGTAGATCATAGCTCTCGACCAATGGAATTGCTCAAATTCTTATGGTTATTATAGAAATGTGTATACATATAATGATACGTTTTATTACTTCCTCTAACATGTATTAATGATACCTGTGTGTGTCAATTGACTCAATTAAACATTAGGCCATCATCATCATATCTTAAATTTCAATTATCGCAAAATTCTCTTTACTTCATTCATTGAATGTATTACAAATGCATTGATCTTACCACAACTCTGTGTTTTATCGCCTCAACATGATGACGATGACTCTCATAAATTCCATCTTTGATGTTTTCCATCATCATTTTACGCATAGAGAACGTCAAATCTAATCCATTTTCTTGGAGCTTAACAAAAGAGGAAATCCGAAACATATAGCCGTTTCTTTATTAAAATCGCCGTTTTTTTTTTAATTAAGAACAAAAAGATGTTTACTGTGTTTGCACAGACTTATGTAAATCAAAGACAACTCGAGAGCAGATCAGTGCAAGCTCATACCGAAGGCCAAACATGTGCTCAACAATTCTCAGAAACGTCTCCGATGACGTTGAGGTAAGCCAGTGCAAACACGAAAATATCTTTTATTTCTCTTATAAAACAACCAAAATGCGGAACAGGCAACTTTAAAAAAAACGTTTTATTACTTCCTCTAACATGTATTTATGATTTAACTTCAAATTGTCTTTGATTGATTGATTGATCTGCTTGCATGGTTGAGCTCATATCGGTTTGCCAGGCGAATGCAAACACATGGCTATGACCAATCAGCGAACGCTTTTATTGTTTCTATCTTATAAATGTTGACAATAAATTATTACGCGCATACTGAATATCGACATATACCTTGTTACAATGTCTTGTCGCAATGCAAACACAGACGCCGATTGCATTTAAAGTGATGTCACAATGAAAAACTTGACGGGAGAACTTTGAAACGAAGTACTCCAACTCATCATTAGCCCATACAATGAATGCTGAAAAAACACAGTTTTAACATATGAAAAAACACAAACTTACGCCTACAAGTGACTCGCTTTCTACTTTCATAGGTAATGGTACAGTTTCGAGTGCAACTACGGATGAACGAGTGACTTTTTCAAATGTGCGTGTGCGTTCCGAGTATGCATGTTTTACCATACGTGCACGAGAAACTATACTTCTACTTGCTAATAATACACTTTGAGATACTTCGCAAAACGCCGCCAACCTCTGTCTCGCTTCTTGACTATTGCTTCAGCAAAAACCTCGTTGCAAGGCCCAACTTTTATAAACATTCATCATAAAAACAGCACTTGCTGTTGTGTCTTTATTCTTTGCATTGTTTTTGTAATTGTTGAATTTCACACGAATTTCAATTGCAAATTGAGGAAATCTTTGTTTACTTATAACTGCTTCCATCTTGTTTGGCTTTCGCTGCTTTTCAGCCAATCAGGTTACGATACAAATACACATTTTCACAGTTTGAACAAACACTTTTCTACAGGGCAATTGCACATTTTTTCAATTGCAATGCAATTAGCCAATCACGATCGAAAAATATCTCAAAGCATATTATCGACATGTAGAGCAAGGATACAGTAAAATCTTGAATACTAAAAAAAACAAATTGACATAATCTCAAAACTGGAGATCATCCATTTTATTAGAATTCATGCTTCAAAAATACATGGTGTAAAAATTATGCAAGTATAATTTCAAAAATATAGATCGATTGCAGTAAAAACATGTCTATAGACGAAAGAGAGAAATGTACAATGTATACAACATATAATAACAAACCTGATTTGAATCCTTTGCATTCAGAAAACAATCTACCAAACTCTTTGTGACATTCCACAAGATTGGCGAAAAAAACATTGCTGAGCTTATCAATATACAAAGCAGTAGCACCTTCGATTTTCAGCTGCCTAAAATGGAAAATTCGAAAAGAAAAAGAGATTCGTTTGTATTCAACATCAAGAATCATTCGAACGAGGTGAATGTTATCTGCCGAATCGAAGCTGAGGCGGATAACATTGGCCGAGATAAGAATAATTCTTGATATCATGCGAAAACCAAATTAAATTATTGCTTTATTATACAACTATAAATACAGAAGTTTTCAAACTATTTTGTACCGAAGCCATTAAGTTTTCCGTGTCTCGACATTAAATAGATTCGAGCAAGATTCCGCCATTACACTTTTTTGTTTACAATTTTCACATGAGCAATTACGTCAACTACAGATAAATCTCAATGTGTTATTAGTGGCAAGACATTGAGATTTATCTGTAGTCTCTGAGAAAATCACAATCGAGTGCGTGAAGCACATTGTATAATAATAAACAATTATTGAATGAGGTTAAGGACATGAAGAATTATTCAGACCGAGGTGAATGTTATTTGCCGAAGCGAAGCTGAGGCTATTTGATATATCAATAGTAAGAAGCTTGTAATTTAAGTCCCTTAAGCTACGCCATACTTTACCCGACCAAGACTGTAGTTTCTACCAACATTTTTATCAAAACTGTTGACTTTCTGTTGTTAAGATTAGAACAACTGGCGAATGAAAAGAACCACCCGAAAAGTGTTAAAGAACTAAATAACTATTTTTTTGTCCTCTACCCAAATGTAGTAAAAATAAAATTGTGATATGAGCACTTTTCGTTTAAAATATGAAAAAATTCTACACTGTTTTTAGTCTAAATATAGTGAAAACCTACCGAAAGCTCTGTTTCACGGCCTCGCTTCTGTTGCGAAGAAACAACGTGCACGCCTGAATGTGACAAAAGTACAAAAGCAAAAAAGTAAATGTTGATATATGACTGTTTAACACGAGACAAAATATGCGTAGAACAGTGGATGTTATAAGGCTCCATCGAAAAACGCCTTCCAATAAAAAAACTTCCTGTTACAGTGTATACATAAATCATTATAGAAATAGCCCATTCCAAGTGTTTATTATGAAGGAAAAAGCAATTTAGCACACAGTTAGTTCAACTTTTTAAAATAATACTAAACCAATAACTTTCATTATAGCAAGTTTTAAATGAAAAATGATGACGTCAAAACGAGAGAATTTACATATCAAAAACCGACAGGATAAAGCTAGGTTGATACACTGCAATTTTGGTAATCAACTTCTAAAATGTATATAATACTGCAGTCTGCAAATTCAACATGAATGACGAGTAAAGTGACTAAAACAAATCGATACGAAATTAAAAATTTAAAAAATTTAGGGCTTTATCAAGGAAGCAAGACGCCTGCTTAGGCGAAAACTCGTGCTCTGGCGATCAAATAATTTCCGTTTTGATGATCAGATTACGAAATGAAAGAATGTGGGAAAAAATATGCCTCGGGCGAGTGATTTTTACGGTTTTTTAATTCGAGCAATATTCCCATGTGTTTGGAACGGGCCACCGGTCATTTATTTGATCGCACATTTGAGAAACATATTAAGTAGTTTTATCAAATACGAACAAGAGGGTAGCGTTACAAGTACTATTAGCAAAAGTATGAAAGCTAAATCCTCTTAAATGCCAAATTGCAGTAGTATAACCCATCAAGCAAAGGAAGTTGTAAAAGTTTAAAATTATAAATCGCACCATGCATTATGGCGTAGCTTTGTTTTGTGTGTATATATTTCGCTTCCTTCATATTATTTCAAAAAGGATGGCTTCAATGTTTGTATTGTCAAAGAATTACATTTTGTCACTCCTTGCAGTCGCCATATTGTGAATGCGCAAGGCATTCTGGGTCAAAAAGTCGATTTCTCGACACCGTTAGCCGAAACCTTTACTCGTGCCCTCCAGAGCACAAGTAATAAGATTTACAGCACTATACATTATATTCATCATACTGCCTATAATATCAAATAAAAGACAGTCAAATGTTATATTGTGTCATATTATAGGCGTCCATCATAGCTACCTGATGCGATTTGCCAAGTTTGTTGAGAAGTAAAACTGCCCTCCTACTCGACTGGGGGCCGCCATGAAGTAGAATACTTTGGTTTGCTTCCAGTTCTGTCATCAACGAGTCGGATAATAACTTTTCTCGATGATCCACTCTACTCCTAGAAAAAAAATAAAACAATCCTACCGTTCAGGTTTCTTGTCACGGAAGTGCAACAGCGCTTTAATTTAAAATATTCGAGTTTAAGAACATTTGCATTATATTTTATAAATCTGATAGTTAAAAAATCCATATCCTTTACCATATAGCTAACGCACAACGAATTTCATTAAGAACATAAGAACTGAGAGATCGTTACGCTATGGCTAAGACCTACATAATTTCATAAAGAACATGAGAGCTAAGAGATCTTCATCCCAGACCTACCATTAAGGAAATGAAAACAGAGAGACCTTTAACATGTAGCAATACATACCGAATTTCATTAAGGGCATGAGAGCTGGGAGAATCCTTCAAATATTCGTTCACTAAAAACAAGTAAGATATGTTTCAAAATAGTTCGCTCGCAAATTATACTTCTTACGTAGGTACTTGTCAATTGATGGCAACACATGAAGAATATGTTTCAAAAACAGTTAACCCAAAGCATAAAGTGAAGATTTATTTATTTATTCCATATAATTTCTAAAACTCAACGTGTTGACAAAATCAAAGATTGCTGAGGTATATTTGAAAAAGTCAAGATCACAAAATGCGTACAAAAAGTACATAAAAACAGGTGCCACACAAGATGGAAAATAGTGTGTACATGTGGGTACATGTGTGAACATAGCCTTGACCAGAGTTATAGTACACGGAACAAACAGTAGTCAATAGTCCCCTTACTTGGTGTTGTATTTTTCATCAAATAGATTACTGGCTGCATCTAGCCATGTTAACATTCACATTGGTTAGATAATGCATTTTACTTCTCCGCACCAAGTTAATTACACGGACAATAAGATATCTGCCACATAAAATTTTCCTTACTGTGTGACTACAGTTCCTTTCTTTACTGTGGCATTGAGTTTAAATTATAGAGTACAAAAAAATTTATAAAACGAGCAAGCTTAATTACTTAATGACAAAATTCACTTGAATCAACTTAAACAAACAAAATTTAGATTTTTCTCACCAAAAATTCGCTTTCAGTCAATGAATTATATGAAACGACATGCTGTCAGCAAAACAACTGACGATATTTTTCCGGCAAAGCGACGAACACAATAAACGGTAATGTTCTCCAATATTCGTATATCCAACTATCACTGAGGATTACGACGTACAGACAGACAGGCAGACAGACAGACAGAGAGACAGACAGACAGACAGACAGACAGACAGACAGACAGACGGACACTTTTACACCACGTGCTCGACAAAACCATCCGACAACATCGACGCACCTTTCTCAATAAGATTCATAGCCTGCTCAAACTCTCTCTGCGCAATGCAGACGTCCAAGTCATCGGGTACATCACGTAGCCATTCCACATCTAAATTCTAAAATGAAGTACCTTTTAATATTACCTTTTATATTCACCACGAGTATCGGGATGAGGGAAGTAGCTTCTTTATAAAGTTGAACCAAGTCAAACAATTTGTGTCAACCACGATGCATTGCGCGCTTTTGTTTATGTTAGTTTTTGTAACCATTGTTAGTTTTTGAGAGTGCGGCACACTAAATCCAAGTTCGTCACTACGTCGTCTAATTTAGTTGAAAAATTGAGCAAAAAAGCATTAATTAAAAAATTATTAAGTTTGTAAAAATTCAAGGCACTTCAAAAATGTCAACGTCCGAATCCGATTTGGCTTTGTCTTTTCCTTTTATCTTATTTACGAGTCGAATGTTGTTCAACTTTCCGTTTTGGCCTTATACGCTTGGGAAACGACGCCATTTCAAAACAAAAGTTTATAAAATTACTTATTTTAAAGTTGTTGGTTGGTCAAAGTTCCATGGACAACAAATAAGATAAAGGACAACAAATAAGATAAAAGGCAATAACACAAGCGGGCATTTTCGCGACCCAGAAAATGGCCGCCATGCCGTGATCAAAGCGCAATGCATCTTGGTTGACACACATTCTTTAAAGAAACTTCATAATATATTTGATAAGACAAAAATTTCATCTTCATGGACTTTTTGGACATGGAAAAATGTGTGTCTGCACCGGATGTGACGAAAAAAAAAGGACACGAACAGCGAGCATATAGCTTACATTTACAGAAAAACACGGTTATTGTTAATCGTCGTGAAAATATGCACTACAAATATAAGAAGTTGCATAGGTGTATAGTTTTGACAACCTCGTTTTAACAAATAAACAAAGAAAACGATTAGAAAGTACAAATGCCTTTTTCCCTTTCTACGTCGAGTTATCTACTTCTTGGCTCAAAAAATCCACGAAGATAAAACTTTCGACCTACGAAATATATTGCAAATGTTCTTAAAACTGATTTAAGTAATTAAGTCATTTTTCTGAACCCCGATGAAGGAACTTTAGAAATTACATGCTCAATAACACTTATTTGCGCGGGGTAAAGGCCGGCATGGAAAAAGTCCAGAGAAAAAAAAATATTTGACGGAAAAATATCTTTCTTTCCGGACACGCACTACCGAAAAGTTTGTGCTTATTTTACAATGTAAAATTCCTGCGGTAAAATTTTGTTTTCTCTAATTACTTCAGAAAGCTGGAAATCAAAATACGTTACAAATAAATCAAGGAAATCAAAAGATCAGTTTTGACGGCAAATTGAATAATGCCCTAGTCATAATGACCGGTGCTTTTGGCATTTATTTCGAAGTCTGGATGAAAGAGAAGATAATTTTATAGAGGAAGTAAGCAATTAAGCAAACCGAAAGACAAATGTATATATCAAGCCCATGTTTAGTTCAAAGTAGGATTATATTTTGAAAATTTGTGTATATATATATGAAGAAAATAGGAAAATACTGTGTTCCCTTCACTTCTGCATGCATTTCCATGTATTCGGGAATTTTGAGAGTATGACTGAATAAAGTAAATGGTTTGAACCCGTGAGTATCGTTACATGTTTGTAAATGTAGATCGTCCAGGTTGGTAGAGTATTTGACTCTGAAGATGACTACCGCTAAGGTTGTCGAACCGTCAGTCAACAACAACAAAAACAGTCCTTCTCAGGACTACACCAACCTGGACGATCTACATTTACAAACAAGTATGACTGAAGTTAGGTACCTTTGACACGAGGCTTGGTGATGCAGCTTCGTCCACAAATGTACTATCGTCTTCATTGTCTACATAACGTAAATTTATTCATCCATATAACAATGAACAATGATATATTTTTCAGCTTTTCAGCAGACAAGTTTTCCAAGTTTTATAAGTCCGTGTTTCTGATTTGATATCAAAAGAATATCCAAACCTGACTCATAAAACGGATTTTTCTCCTTATCATATGGCTCTTGTGAAACGTGACTTTGCGCGGAAACGTGACTTTGTGCAGAAACCTCTTTTTGCAGTTGAAGTTTAAAGCGCTGCTTAGTTTCTTCGAGCATATTCATCCACTTTACCTAACATCGATGGAAGCAAACTTTCACAGAATATTTCAATAGCCTGTATTCACTACAAAAACATCCTGCTAAAAAGCTCTTCATGGGTTTTAGCTACAACGTGGAAACTCTTTTGAAAGTGGTGAAAGTAATCTTCGTGCGATGTATTCGCTTCTACTTAAGTTGGAAACTGTAGCTACTGTGTAAAAATATGGTCAGTCAACACTATCCTGATTACGATTTTACATAGACAATCACTATCATAAAATTTTATCTACGTACGTAAGTTCAACAGTGCTCATATGTTAACATGGTTAACAATTTTGGGTGAGGTTGAGCATGATATCAAGAATCATTCGACCGAGGTCGGTGATATTGCAGAAAAAAGCTGGTCAAATAATTCTATAATATCAGGCGAAAACCGAATTCAATAATTGTTTTATCACACAATTACACATACAGAAGCTTTTAAACTATTTTGTAAGGAAGCAATAAAGTCTTCCGTGCTTCGACATTAACTGTATTCTTTGCGGCTCCCTTTGTCTTTTACCCGTAAATACTCAATGAAAACTTTCCGGACTTACATTATAACACTTTCCTGAGAATTATCTCTTATGTAGTAGGCTCTTAGCCAATCACAATGGAGATTTTACCCACATTATATACTAATACATGCTATATCTTACCTTAGTGTCGTTGTCTTTCGCCTGATATATGTAAGTTTCGCCTGTAGGGAAATTCATTACACGAAACGCAGCGGTCAACCCTACGAAAAATATATTTGTAACATAAAACCAGGACGGATTCACGATTTTTTCAGCGCCCACATTAGGGTCAGAAAAATAACTTCTTTAGATAATTAAATAAACAAAAACATATGAAGATGAAATTTTCATCCTGTAAAATATATTGCAAATGTTATTAAAATGGAAACTATCTAAAGACGTTTTTCCCCCGACCCTGACATAGGCACTTCGAGGAAGCTCTAGTTGGGTTTAAATCTCAGCGGTTAATTGTTACCTTAACATGTCTGACTTTTTTTTTGTTAAATCTGTTACCTTTTTATTATGAATGTGAGATTTTTTAAAGTGCCAATGTTAACCTTAGAGAAATAATCTATTTAGATAGAGTTGACCGTTTCAAGAACATTTGCAATATATTCTATTTGACAAAAGTTTGATTTTCTTTGACTTTTTAGACCTCAAAGTTGGCTTTTTTCGTGTTTCGCTTTGCTTATACAGCAAAGTCAAGAAATTTATTTTTATTATCTTGAGTTGTATTGAACACTTTGTTTTGAATTACACTGTAATTCTATAGGGTTAAAAAGCGGCGTGTTCTCCAATGTACGTCACGTCCGGTGAACTAGACCCAGTCACAGCATCTCACGGCCAAACACGAAAAAAGCCAACATTGAGGCCCAAAAAGTCAAGGAAGATCAAATTTTCTTCTCATAAAATAAATTGCAAATGTTCTTAAAACAGTCAACTCTATCTAAATAGACAATTTCTCTGAGGATGATATGGGCACTTAAAAGTGTGCTCCATTAAACGAAAGCTCATCAGAGTTGCTTTTGCTCGATTGCTTGGTTTATTAATAATTTGTAGGGAAATTTCCACCCTCCTGCTCACCATATAATCTAGCCAAGGTTAGGAGTTGGTCATATCCTACGCACCCCTACCCTAAATCCACCCATGCATGAGATAATCAAAAATACTAACGTAATTCGTGCAACATGCACAATTGGGTTATTGTTTGAGCATTCAAGGAATCAGCGTCCGTATTTGTAAAGGGTTATTTTATAAAAATGAACGATAATTTAAATCAACACAATGAAATCAGTTGAGAACATACAGAACTTCAGAGCTTTGGACCAGAAACAAAGCAATAACAGATCTCTAACCTTCCATATCATGAACATTGACAACACCAACATTATCAACTTCGAAGACACATTTCAATTTAAAACGTCCTGGACCGTTCCTACACGCGAAAAATTTATGATGACAATACACTATTGAACATTAAAATTTACATGCTACCATTAAAGAGTCGGGCAAACGCTGTGTTTCTATTAGGTAACTTATAAAAGAGTTGGTACTTGTTATCATAGAACATACTTGTTAGTAACGAACATCGCAATCACCAAAAAATCGTCGAGTAGGAATGCTTTGATCCCTTCTACAGCACCCAAAGAATATTGATCTATTTCTAACAGATCTCCTTCCATCACACAATGATGTTCGTGGATGTTATTGATTACATTCTAAACAATGTAAAAGAAGGCTTCCACAGTGCACTTTTATTATCCTTATGAAATATACGGCGATAGAAAGAAGCTAAAAATACCAACGAAAAATGCGTTTTTATACCAAAATACCATAATGTGTCGAAAGTAGCCTCCCGCCCAAAGTAACCGCCCTCTACTCGAAACTCAGCACACTCCGAAACTACTTGTGTCTCAGAAAAAAGCCGCCCTTGGAGGCCATTAGTTTCGAAAGGGGCTCCGTGCGGCTATTTTTGAGAATATATGGTACAACACAAATAATGGCCCCGGCAAGGTTGTATTTTGCAGGGCAAAACACCCTTAAAATGGCACTTACATGTACAACACACTGTTTGATGTTACAGACGTTTTCAACTTATGTTATTTGAAGGCTTATTATGGGAAATATTGGCGGGCAACTCCCCCCTTCCCTACGCTATTGTACACGAAATAAAAATTTGCCCACTTACAGACAATCCATCTATGTTTTCGAGAAGGGACATGGTTTCGTTGTAACTATCGCTTTCAGAAGGTAAACCATCGCTAACATCAATCGAAGCTAACGACTCTAAAACGTAAAATAAGTTAGTCATGTCGACATAGTACTCGGTGTGATCTGACAGTCAGTCTTTATGGATGAAATCTTGTTTCGAACACCCGCAAGCGAACTCATACAACCCTGAAGTTCTTCGAAATAATCCCTTTTCATAGTGTCATAACGACAAAGACTTTCAAAGTATCGTAACACGTGCAGAAATATCAAGGTCCCTGTCCACTATGATGCCACTACTACAAAAATATGCGCATGAGTTCACGCGTAGGTTAAATTCAAAAAGGGCATAGAGCACGTGGCAAGCTTTTTTAAAATACGCTGAACTGCAAATGAGAGGAGGGCTTTATAGGTTGCAATTCGTTTCTTTTATCTACATGTTTGGCAGTTTCTTAAATATGTACATGTATATTTCATTATGAGTTATATTAGATTTATAAAACTATCAATCGATCTATCTATCTAGATTGAATTCCAAGATAAGGGGAGTTTGACCTGGTCAGGTTCCAAGATTGATCCTAGTCGAGATTTTACCCTAGACACGTGTGTGTAGTCCATCAATTTTCACTCCGCGAGAGAATCTCGAAACACTACACACGTGTGTCTGAGGCATTGAACTAAAATACATGAAACGCTACCTGAAGCAAAGACACGCGTGTGCAGTGTTTCGAGATTCTCTCGCAGAGTAAAAATTGATTGGCTACATACGCGTGTCTGGGTGTAATCTCGCGTGTCTAGGAGTAAGATTTGGCCCTCAAAAAATTGTTTTCTATTACAGGGAGCGTTCCATGTATTTTAGTTCAATGGTCTGGGGTAGTTAAGGTGAGACAAGGACGCCATCATGAAAGGTGGCAAAAAGCAAAACACAAAATTAAAAATAAGTTGAAACAAGGTTAGAAAACTCAATCCTGTCAAACATTTAAAAAGTTGAACCAAGACTATCAACTTTGCAACTGTACATAGGAAAAGCAGATATATATCGCAAATATCGTCCGTTTTACCACCTTCTAAGATGGCAGCTTGCCTCACTCAAAACTATAGAAGTTAGCAAAGTCATACAACTAGTAGATTGGATTCTAGGTCATTGGGTCAGACTCAGAGCAAAGCAACACAAACCCATGCATTATCTATCTACGTAATTTCGTAAAAGCACTGTTTCTAATGCGCATTTAATATACACGAAGACTTTTATTAGAATAGACATGTTTCGACATCTCATGATGCCATTTTCAGTATGAGTGAGATAATAAGATACTGAAGATGGCATCATGAGATGTCGAAACATGTCTATTCTAAAAAAAGTCGTCGTGTATACTATCTACGTAAGTCAGGCAAACAAACACACTTACCAGACCGACCAAACAAACACATCTCAAGCTGGGATGATAGGTTGGACTTTTGATCTGTCAATAAATGACTCAACTGATACATTTCAGCCTCCAAATCTAAATTAAGTGCTCAGGAAAGGCTATGTCACATTAATTTACAAAAACAATTCAAAATGATGGTTTAAGTTCAAGTGTTGGAGAAAGAAAACTGGATAGCCCGGCCTTCATTACGATTTTCAACTTGAAGAATGACTAGTTTATAACAACTAATTTACGAGTGAGAGTCAGTCTATGCAAGGTTGACAATGTTATAAAGAAGTGACACAAGATGACTGAGGTAAAAAAAGTGGCATTATTGAGATGGGAGTAAGAAATGTTGTAAGCAATTTTTGTTGTGATTGGATGAAATTGTTGATATTGAGAGAGAAGTAGACTTAAATGGCAATTGGCAAATTGGTTTGAGTAAGCAAGGGCCGATCAATGTTCATTTCCCCAGGAAGGTAAATTGTTATCCTAGCTTAAGTTGCAAAGTAGTTGAGCTATTGTGCATTTTTAGGCTTAAAGATTAGTGAACGTTGTGTAGTAAACATGTTTATTTGGTTTTCTAAACAAATTTATATGTTTTTTTGTTAATGCATGTGCATTTAGCAATTTATTCCAATTTTAATGTTTCAATAAAAACGCACATGGTAGTACCAAATTGTAATGGTGGTAGTATAAAATTTGTAAAATTTGTCTTTGAAATGAGAAGAGTTACTTTGTACTCAGTTTTCATCATAGATTCTAATACCGTTATATAACTCTTCTACAGTATGTAACCCATTTAGAATTTTTCTTGGGGTGTGCACCCCCTGCACAAGACCAAGAATATCTACCCCTGAGAGTGAGAAGGTGTGAACATTTTATAAAAAGCATCAGAGTTTGTGGTGAAGGACAAGAGTTTAGTGTAAGTAAGGACCACCAAAGAAGATGTGGAAAAAGGTAGCAAAGAAGGAATTTGAGAAATTGCGCAAAAATTTTGAAAGATTCCAGTCATCCCATGGATCGAAATTTAAACTATCAAAAAGAAGGCTTCACCATACATATGACAGCATAGGGAGTGACCACTTTACTCAATCATATTCAGAGTGGGATTGAAAGGGAGGTATTTGATGTTTCTACAAATAATTGCCCACTATTATATGATCTTAATGAGGATTGTATTTCGAATGTTATATACACTTGATAAAAGTACTTGATGAAAAGATACAAGAAATCTCTCGTGACGTTTCGATAAACTGCTGATAATTTCTGTAAACATTTCTTTTCAAAGTAGCTGCTGTCTCTTCATTCAAGGTCTTTATTTTCTTTTGTTGTTCCTTTAACTCTGCATGAGTGTTAAGATTGCTGCACAAGTTCTGGACATCTAAACATAACAAATAGGTGACTTTGGACATTACAATTGAATTGACTGATAATCAATATGAATTTTAGCAAGGAATTTTTAAATTGAAATTTCAAAATATCATTGGCATATCTTTAGAAGATTAACCAAGATGAACAAAAAAGTTGAGGTAGATTAATGGAAGTGTTCATTCTCGATACAATATGAAAATAAATTGTGTAATTGTTAGAAGGAGATTTTTCTAATTTCAAGTAAGATCATCACAATTGAGCTAAAAGCATTTAAGGAATTCAATTATGCTGCTATAGAATTTTGCTAGATGTATTTTAATCGTTTGAGCACTGATTTGTTTAATGTATCAATGCATAAGTTCAATCAAAAATAACAATATAATTTCAATATTAAAGTAAAGTGAACTTGCATCTGAAGCCACCGTCATATTGCTTACAATACTCCAACCGTCGAAACAAGAAGTATGACATTGTTTGTGGCTAAATGTTTCAAAATTGTACGCTAGGAAACACACAAGAAGCAATACTTACATCGTTCTGGATCAAAATCATCTTGTGACATCGTCCGTGCTAACAAAGGTGAAGAAATTAGATCCATTTTGGCCATTTTTACAACGTAGGTTAACAAGTTTCAAATACAAATAATTGAAAAAAAGCCTTTTAGCACAATTTTAGATTTGTTCCTTTAAAGGCATAAAAACAATGTTCATTGCTCTCCTCTGTTCCTCCACAATCCACAATAGAAAAGCTTATATAAAGTTTGACATTTGTTGATTACGAATGGAGCCCAGATCCCTCGCAGTCAAATGTCATATAGTTATGGTCATTGAATTTTATACTCGAAACATGTTAAAAACTTTCGTGACATGTGATGTAAGCCGAAGCGTTCTGCAAATGCAGATGTACTGAAAACACAATCTTCCAATTGAAATTCATGCTCTTTGCACGGACATAGAGCTGTTCTTTTTATGATTGGTATGTTATACCAATCATTGTCAGATCCACCTAGAAAACGAAAGCAGAAATAACAACAAAACAGGAGTTTGTTGACTGAGTGTGATTGCACACTGTGTACCACTACACCAATCCTAACTTAAGCTTTGCCAACATCAATGGTCTGGTTTTCAATACGTCAGCGTTCAAAATGCAACTACGGTAACTCTATAATGTCTACATTTTGATTCCATGTTTCAAATTTACTTACGGTCATCATTAGGAATGATTATGTTTAGAGTGTAAGAATTATAAATACTCTATGTAATTTTCATGAAGAATGTGATAGCTCACATTAAGAAATTAACTTACCATAAAAGATACTTTTATTAATGACGTTTTATCTATGCCTTAAGACATCTTCGGATAAAATGATAAATATTTACATGGGGCTTTAAATACAAGCAGATTATCCGAGATATTTACGAAATTGTCAGAGGAAGAAGATGACCTTGTGATTTACGAAAGTCTTCTCATACGCAAGCTTAAACCCTCTCTGAACACTCAAGATAACTCCTTCCCCCTCAACCTTATTTAATATTTAATATGTTGCCCCTTCCATTCTGTCCTGTCTTCCAAACTTCCTATTTTCCTCAAATGCAATTTAACACCCTTTAAATACAATAAGCAAGAAGCACATTTTCGCAATCTCGAACAATTTTCATAGTTTGGTATTCATTATGCACGTACAAATTTTTAACAATTATTGAAAAAGGTTGAGCCAGATATCAAGAATTATTCAGAAGAAGATCGGTATTAACTGAGGCGGATAACGTTGCCTAGTATCTCGGAAAATTTTTTGACATTATGCAAAACTGAATTGAATATTTATCCTCAATAATTCGAGTGAAAATACTTGGTAAAACGCTTGCAAATCTCGAGCAAGATTCCGCCATTACAGCTTTTTTGTTTACAATCTTGAATTTTCACATGAGCAATTACGTCACCTACAAATGATTTTTGATATCTTTTCAACAGTTAGCCAATCACAACTGTACAATGAATAATATTATTTGAAGTATGTTCATCAATTTACTTCATTTTTTGGCCATGATATTTGCGAGATTACCCACATGTACGCACTACGTATCTATTTTAAAGAACGTTTTCTTACTAGGCTATACCTCCAGTGCTTTTTAACAGTTAAATTAAGTCACTGTTATTTACTATTTCATCCGCTCTTCTCCCGGCTTCAAGTTGTAGTTGGGAAATAGTTTTAAAAGAACCTCTTCGCCGTATAATCGTTTTATGTCTCTACAAATGACTATGAACTGAACTCCAAATTCAATAACTGACATCTTCTTTTGTTTTGAAGTTTTTGATGTTTCCTGTTGAATTGTATAGTCTTCGATACTGTCGTTTTCACTACTCGAGATAATATACCCTTGCGTGTGCATGGCTACAATCGTTCCACTTATATCGAAAACAGGAGAACCACTTGCTCCTGAGAAAAACGTTGTATCATACGATAGTTTATTCTGATAATCTTCAGTTTTATCAAGATCGCGCTCTTAGCACATCATGCATACGACGATAGCCGACAACAACACATGTCTCGTTTTTCATTTCTTCACATCTTGGATGGCCTACGATGACGACCCGATCGTCAGACAGCTGCCAATTTCTTACGTAAAGTCCGAGTGGTATACGTTTTTGCAATGCTGGACTATCTTCCAATTTGAAGAATTTGTAATCTAAATACGCGTTCTCTATATTCGGATCATTATTTTCATCAACGAATACAGCGTTCATCACACTCTGTTTCCTTGAAAAATAATCAAAGTTAACGATGATTCGCGGAATTTAGTGTTCCTTGCTTTTTCTTTCTTAATCATTCTGTAAACGTGATAGTTTGTTATAACCAACTTGTCCGCTACAAGAAAACACGTTCCTCCAACGTTGCCGCAAGTTATTTGACCGATCCAATCAATGTATACTGCTAAATCTTTATTCAATCTTGCAGGAGTTGCGGTCGATGAATTCTTACATACTTCACATTTCACAAGATTAAGCTTTTCCGTGTCGGCTTCTCCCATAAAGTCGACTTTTCCATGCGTTTTCTCTGCGCTGTCCGCCGTCAGGCAGTCGCAGAGTGACGATTTGACCTATTCGGTCATGGCTGCTTGAACTCTGTCGTCAAATGGTTTATGCACCATATTTGTCGATCATACACGTAAGTTGGTAGGATATCACTGACATATTTTTTAACAGCAAGGATCTTATTAGTGGTTAACATCCCTGCTCGTGATGTATCTTTTATCAGTTCGTCTAACTTTTCATCTTTAAACCAAAAAATTACCTTAAGATAGCTTTAAATTGTACAATCATTGCAGTAAATTGAAAAAAAAAGAAAGAGATCTACCTGTTATTGGTTCAACGTTTGTTTCATTTTCATTTGGCTCAAAATCACTTACATTCTCTTTATTCTCCTCTGCATGTAAAAAATGAGATGTAAAAAAATTTTATTTTAAGAGTTGGTCTTGGAGTTTAGAAAACTAATTAAATTATGCTTGTTGTGTGTAAAAGTTAATATTGTGTATTTTTTAGGGCTTAATATTAAAAGAAAAGTATATCACAGAAATATTTCCCCATGCATTGTCGTTCTATACCTTCTTCTGATGATTTCTTTCTCTCTTCTGCAAATTTTAACACCTTTTGCACGTATTCAAGTGCTTTTTCTTGCTCCCCAAACTTAAATGTACATATAATAAACCTGTTAAAGCTTTTTCGAATAAAAGCTGATCACAACTTTCCACTTCAAGGAGTTTTAGTAAGTTACTGTAAGGTGATTCCGCTTTCCGAAAATTAAATTTTTCCCAAGCAAGTAACGCGATCTCTATGTATGTCAATCCCAATTCATGGATATAACTTTCAAGCCTGTCTTCATTGCGCATTTAATCGCCCATAGTCCTAGCTCTTTCTGCATATTCCTCTGCTTTTCTCGCAATCTCCTCAGCCCTCTCTTCTCGATCCAGTTGCTTTACAGTATTTGCAATTATTCGCCCGTGCAATTTTACCAAATTTTTATGAATTTCCGTAATCATTCGCTCATTGGCTATTTCTTTTGCAATTTCGCTCCCTCTATGCAAATATTCATCTGGTCTTTCGACTTCATTTAACTGATGGTATGCGTCGAAAAGCTTTAAACAAAATTTGAATCCCCGCGTTTTACCAAGCTGAAGTGAAATGCCAAGCGTCTCAGCATATGACTCGCCTGCTTTTATATAATTACCATTTTGATAAAAAATATTTCCAATGAATTCTAAAACATGAGCTCGATTGCTCGGCTCTACTTCAGATAAGACTTTCACAATATAATGGGCAAAGGATTCGTAGTCCTTTATATTGTAAAATCCAATTTCTAGTCCAAGATATGCGTTTATTTTCAATTGTTTTCTTCCATTCGCGATGGAGAGACGTTTTGCCTGTTTATAATAATCATTGGAGTCTGGATGTTTCTCATTTAGGGCAGCAACCTAACCACAAATAGCAAAGGATTTCCGCCTCGTTAGTTGGCAAATTTATAAAAAGGCTTTGTGCATTTTCGTAGTTTTTGGCCGCTTCTTCATACATGAATTTATTTGCGAAAATGTCCCCCAAAACGTTGATGCGCTTCTCTTTTGATATCATTGAATTCATTGTTTTCGTTTAGAACGACTATTGCTCTTTCAAAAAACTTTATTGCTTCGTCGTTATCTGTTTGTTTGGATTGGTCGTCGCGGTTATCGTTTACCTGATACCTACAATTTAAATGCAAATTAATTAATGAGTAAAAGTTTCATGAAGACGTTTAGTTGACTATTTACATAAAGATGTTCACTATCACTCAGCAAGGCCACAATCTCGTTAAAATCAATGGTTTTCTGGAGATTATAACATGCATATATGAATATTACCCCCCCCCCCTCAACAAAAATTATCGTGGCTAGCTACGGCACTGGATGTCTGGATCATTGTGAATGTTATTGTCAAACAATGACCAGAATTTCAACCAGTCTTAGATCAATCTTTATAATGTTTTTTAATTAAAAATAGAAAATACATTTTCTTTTACTTAATGTGATATTTCTATTGATCCTAACGACCTTACCGTTTTCGTTCCTCTGATTTCGTCCCTTTGCTGACAGATGCAAATAAATATTTCCCAAATCAATGCAAGCTTGAGCTATTTCACCAATATTGTCTCTTTTTATTGCTATACCTAAGCTTTCTTCACAATATTCAAGTGCGTTATTCCAGTCATTTTCCCATTGAAAAAAATATCCCAACATTTTCAGTGCACTAGCTTCCAAATCTTCTTTCTCAAGCTCACGTGACCTTTTCAAAACTTTCTTCATGTAGTCGATTGAAATTTGACCGTCACCCTTAAAGTTATAAATGTCTCCCAGCTCAAAATATGCTTGTAATAAATCCTAAGTTCTTTCATTCTCTTCTTTTTCTTGATTCAATACTTTTCCCATACATTCTAATGCAATTTTCCAAAAATTTTTGTTGTCATAATTAATACTTTCTAAGGCAGTACTAAGGTACTGCCTTCGCTGCTGTTTTCTGGAATTTCTTGTGTAATTCTCAAACCTTGCTTTAAATTCTATAACGCTTGTTCATGGTAGCCATTCATTTTATGTGCATGAGCTAACCCAAAATAAGCTTTGACTACTAGACGTTCACGTTGCTCTTTTTTCGCTATAGTCAATGCTGTTTTGTAATACTTTAGTAGTGTGATATACTTTGTTGAATTACTCGAAGCATTTTTACGACTATAAATAATTCCTAAGCCAACAAGTGCCTTAGCTTAGCTTAAGGTATCATGACACTCACTTGAAATTTCAACACTTTTATTTAGATAAACGGATGTTTCTTCATCTTTGCTACAAATGAAGATGTGTCCCAGCTCAAAATATGCTTTAGATAGTTGAAGTTTGTCGTGTCCTTTGTTGGCGAAATTCAAACTTTCTTCGTAATGCTTAATAGCATTTTCCCAATCGCTCTTCCATTTACAAATATGTGCAAAGCCCATGTGGGCCTCAGCTTTCATATCTAAATCATCTTGTTTCATTGAAATATCCAGAGCTTTGTCTAAATGATCAATTGATTTTTCATCGTTGCATTTTAATCTGTAAAGAATTCCCAATGCCATATTTGCTATCGCTTGTTCTACTTTAAAGTTTTCCGTTTCATTGTACGGAAAATTCAAGACCTTGTGGAAACCGGATATAGCTTTGTCTTATTCATTGCCTAAGAAAAGTTGAAACCCCAACTTGATTAATGTTTGTGGTTGTTGCATATTCTGTAAGAAAAGATGAAAACAATTAACTTTTTTCAGCTTTAAACTATGAACGCATTCATCGTTCTATATTATCTGGGCAACTGGGATCACTTCATTCAGTCGGAGACAAATTAACTGTCGTTATTCGCACTTGAGCAGTACCGCCGACAATTATTAGCTATTCGTAGTGCTGTGGTGTTGTGAAATTTTACTTTTTTGCTTGTAAGTACTGCTGAGCCTACATCCTTTTCTTTTCTCAAGTTTTGTTTAAGTTTTGCTTTTTTTCCAAATCCGTTCAGTTTTCCAAAAATAAACTGAATCAATCAAATGCCATGGCCCATAAGTGCCATAGACCACAATTCACTGTAATTCTTACCTCATAACAGTGCTGCCACTCCGTATATGCACATTTCACCTACCAAAACTTTATATTCCCCTACCTCCCCTACGACGATTTTCCTTGTTTTCTCCTACTTTCCCCTAAGCAACAACGTATTCCCTATTATATACCTATGCTGGGTCAGACCACTGAACTTTTTAGTCCGTTTGTAAAAAAGTGAATACAAAAAAAAATTGAAAAACATCTGCACTACAAAATTAGTAATTTGGCGTAAGACGTTGTGACGTAAAGACACGCAAAAGACAGAAATGACACATTGTGTTTAGGCTAAATTGCTAATCTTCTATTGCCATATATGGTCACAAAATGTTCCAACAAAGAGTTTCTGTTACAATCACTTCTTAAATAGTGAGAACACAAGTAGAAAGGGTATTTTGGCAAAAATTAGAATAGACATTCTCATTTATAAACGATTTTCTTTTCTCCCTACAATCCCCTACATTTTACAGTTTTCCCCGTAGGTTCCCCTACCACCAACAAACCACTAAATCCCCCTACTGTGGGGTATTTCCCCTACGAGTGGCAGCCCTGCCTCATAAACCCTATATTGCCATATTACATGGAGTGGGGCTCTATACTTTATAAACATGGCGGAACGCATTAAAATCTCAGGGGCCGGTTGTATAAAAACGTAGTTAACTTTAACTATAGTTAACGTTAACTACCGTAGTTAACTCCTTAACTGTAGTAACTTAACTGCTCGACTTAACTGCGTTGCACAAAACGTAATTTGTCGGATAGTTAAGTAACTGCGTAGTTAACTTGCGTGGAAATTGCGTGTGGAGTGTTGTTTACGTTAAATGACATAAAGTTTAATCAATTTATGCTTTGTAATGGCGGGCAAGTGAACTATAAAATGACTTCAAAATCAAGAAAAATCTCTTCAAGATCAAGAAAAATGACAACAAAAGATAAGTTGTAGGCTGTTTTTCGTCAGCAAAACTTGGGATGTTTACAGCACTGACGAAAGTAGTACACCATCCATAAAGCTCTTATTCTAAAAGCCTTTGCCATGGAAGATACATATGTGATTAAAAACTCAAGGTAAAACCTTGTTGATCAACAACATCTCGCCCATAATTGTCTTTGAGAAGCTAAGCCCCCATATTTAACTGTTTTTTGAAAAGTTAACTATGCTCCATAGCATAGTTAACTTTAACTACCTTTTAACGTACTGCAGTTAGCGCTAACTACTTTTTTATACAACCGACTTAACCGCGTGGTTAAATTTAACTACTTTTTAACTGCAAAAAGTGTAGTTAACAAGTAGTTAAGAGCTTTATACAACCGGCCCCTGATTGGGAAAATGATGAAGAGATGAGACATGATCTTGAAAAATATGTACAGCGAAATTTAAAACGAAAAGAGACACTAGACTATATGTCTGCAGAGTATCCCATGTATGCATGGAGCTTTCGCACTTTAAGTCGCAGGCTTCAACATTTTAATATTTAATACACGACATTGCATTGGAAGACGTTAAAACAGCTGTCAAAAAGGAGTTGAACGGTCCTGGCGTTCTTCTAGGTTATCAGGCAATGCAGCAAAAGGTAAGAGAGGGGCATGGGCTCAATGTTTCACGCGACTTAGTTTACGCTGTAATGGGAGAAGCTGACCCAGAAGGACTGCAATCACGAGGTGGAATTGGAAAACCGAAAGGACCACGTAGAACAAACGCGTTTGTTGATGAAGGCTTTTTCGTTGGGGTCTCATGAGATTTCCACCGTTGATTGAAACTGATTTCTATTGGCTTTTCATGACACAAATGGCTCTCATCACTTCCCTCAATAAAAGGAACATGGATTACCTTCCAATTATTTATCCTGAACTGATTCAGTTCAAGATGGCCCTCTCTCCCCAGCTAGATGATCCAGCACAACCCGTCTTCCATGTTGAAATAGCGCTTGCATGCCTCTTTAATATTTTGGATTGTTTGTTCTCCACCAAAAGGAACACTTGCTAATGGCCCAATCCTTGCGTATTTTTGATACCTTCCTTTGACATGAGACGACAATCTTTGAACTGTGATATAGTCCATGTCCGACTTGGAAGTTTTTTCTTCTTTTCTTCTCTTTTTTGAGATTCGCTCCTTAAACTTTGCAAAATCCTCTTTGAAGTTTTGTTTTGACATAGTTTCGAGAAACAGCCTTCGCAATGGTAGCAATTTCAAAGTATAAATAAATATAAATAATCAAAATTCGAAAATATACCCCTTGTCCAAATATTGACTCTGTACTTCATGTCATTTAGTTAAACAGATAATTTAATATTTGATGCTAATCACAGGCTATGGCACTCGTAGGCCATGGCATTTGATTGATTCAGTTTATTTTTGGAAAACTGAACAGATTTGGAAAAAAAGCAAAACTTAAACAAAACAAAACTGAAACAAAACTACAATTGAACTGTTAAAAAAATATTTAATTCAAACTGTGAAATAAATCAAGTTTGCTTTGTAAATAAATGGAAATGAAATAATATCAATAATGGAGTGGAAACACTAGAAATTAGCATGGCACCAGTGAACTCTACACAATGAACTCTACAACAACTGGAAGGCTAACTCAATATAGACATGCATAGACATGCACAATTGTTATGAAACGTGTTATTTTAAGTGGATTGTGTGTATTTTGCACAGCTTTCAAAGATACAGACTACCTGTAAAATTTGCTACAAAGCGTGTGGCCCATTTTTTTGACAGTACCCCTTCCAACAAGTCAAAACAAACGTCACTTGCCAAGAAAGCATGCATTATTTCCAGAGCTTCCACAATGGCTATGTCAAATTTCTTGTTCGGACTCTAAAAAATCTTCTTTCTGAGTAAATTTCCTTGCCCAAATTTCTTAATATCTTTGCAAAATTCCTTGCAATTATCCTTAAAAATAGCTAATTTTGGTTGTCATATATACGATTAGAGTACAAAAATGAACTAGTACATTGCAATAATTGCGCAATGATATAAGTTTTTAGTACCACTTTGTTTATAATAAGAAAATTTACTAAAGTACCAAATCAAATTAACATATGAACTTAATTTGTAATACTGATTTAATGTAACAAAAAATAGCTTTACCTTGTTCTTAGCTTAACTGATAACTCAGCATCATTTGACAATCGGTGATTCCCAACATGAATCAGGTGTATTTTTTAGTTAGCCAGTAGAAATTCACCAAACGTCCTCTAATCATAAACTTACTTATTGGCTGCAGAAAATAAAAAGAACCAAAGGCTTACTGAAACGAAAAGACTACAGCAGAAGATGTAAGGAAACGGTTTATGGGAAGTCTTGCTGAAAAAGAGAAAAGGAAAATATATCAATTAAACAATAAAGAAACAGTTGTTTAGAATACTTCAAAGAAAGGGAAATGCAAACAAGGAACAGGAAGTGGCAATAAACAAAAGAAGAAGGGAAAAGAAGTAAAGAGTTGGAGTTAAAGAAAAGAATGAAGAAACCCATACAAGAAATCAAAGAAACGTGGTTGTTGAAATGCAGCAACAGTCATAACAGCAGCATATGCCAAGTTTTTGCGAATGTGCAACAAAACAAGTTGTCCCTGGAGTTTTTCAACAATGCAAAAAAATTATAAAACAGACAAATGTTGCATTCAATTTTTAAGAGCCCTGGGATTTGACGAACCAATCAGAACGTGGGCTGTGATCTTTATTACAAAACAATGGATAGATGTGTTGATGACGCGTGTACGAGATTAAATCGTGGACTCGCAAAAAGTAAAAACGGAAATGCTTGAGCAAAATGGCCGATGTCAATGAATACGAGAGAATTTTATGTGTCAAAAACGAAGTTTTTGTTTTTCGAATACCGCCCAGGAGTACAAACAGAGGTTACAGGTATGTATCGATACTGTAGGTTTAAATAATTGCTGTTCATGTAACGAATATGTAATGTTTTATTTGTATGTCTTTGTTAATTTACGTTTATAGTTAAAATGAATGTCAATTTCCGCCGTCAGTTAAACATCACACTTTAGCCTTGTTAAAAAATGTCGTTACGGATAACAAAATATTCATTTTTCCTCCATAATTATATATATTTTTTGATTCTTCGTGACATTCGGTAGTCCTTACCTCTCGTTACATTCGCGTTAAATTATGCCAAATAGTTCTAATTCTTTAATTTTATATTTAATTAACCATACCGCATTATTTTATCATTTATTATCAACGTGCCTTGCCGTCATTTTAAAGAGTCTTGAGTATTTTGACTGAACTACTTCTACTTTTGAATGAACTAATTTATTCTAAAGCAGACTGTAGCATATGTTTATTTCTGCACCTAATACAATATCAAACAAAAAAGTTAAAAATGACATGTCCACTCCTGCTTGATTAGTTAATTTTGTTACTTGTGCCATTTAAAAAACCCCAAGTGAAATTCCTTTCGTTATGGCTAAAAATGAAAGTTTGTTGATTATTATTGCCAACTAAAGTGACTTTGAATGCTCACTAGAAATTCCCTAGTATCATTTTAAGCCCCTTGATAATCTAGATTTTCACAGTCATGTTACCATACACAAAAGCACTTTGTTTCACTGTTAATATGAACCCAAATACAAGGCCTTCTTTTTATTTGTGGTGATTACGAACATATTTAGATTAAGCTCCCATTTTTATGATGTGAACTCTGGTCTTCCTACCATAAATGCGATATTCTTGATTTTCTTTTGTTACTAGTAAATAACTCCCAAGCAGTTTCGTTTCTTGGTGACTTTAGTCAGCACCATTGTGACCATATATGAAAGTTTTTTACCAGATTCTGTTAGATGTGCATAAACATTCACTCCTCTTTGCAACTTTGCAAATATATAAAGCAAGTGGTGGAGTCTAAGCTTAGGGGTCTTTTCATATGAGCTGGGTTGCCCACTTTACCGTGCTATGCCATGATTTACAAAATCTCGCCTCTTTTAGTATTTGCATGTAATTTCTAATTTTGATTCATTTGAGAGGCGGACTGGCTTGTTTTGCCGGGGATCTTGCTTGAGCTAGGTAGGATCTTGGCCTAAATAGGTTCATGTGAATGCACAAGGCGGGCTAGCTTGGCATGCTGGGCCAAACATCGTACTAGTGCACATGCTTGTGAAATTCAATTTGATGAAATATGGTAGGCAAGCAGAAGAATATTTTTTGGTGGACCATAGAATGATGCGGAACGTCATTGAGTTTCTTTCAGCTTATAAAAGTTAAGTGAAACATCATGCGTGCTTGATTAATTATTTATGTATTCGCCAGGCCACCCTGCCTCATGTGAATTAAATAATAAACTGGCTTGGCAAAGTGAGCTAGCCTGGCAAAGTGGCCAACCCAGCTCATATGAACAGGCCTTTGGTTTTAGACAAAATCTTACTAAGAAATTGGCATATATGGCCAAACTGGTCAGCTTTGTTCTTGTCAAAATTTTACCCTCATAATGTCATCTGCTAATAATGACCCTAATTATATTTGTATTATTAATGTTTATTTTGATTATAGAGCTGCTGATTGGAAATTAGATCAACCTGATTGGACAGGAAGAATGCGTGTTTGTTCTAAAGGAAACGAACTTTATGTAAAACTTGAAGATAACACTAATGGTGCGTATAACATGTTACTTATTCATGATTTAGGCAATTTGAATCAAGAAGTTGGTTACCTCAAGCAAGTTAAAAACAAAATGAAAGGAAATAGTTATTTTAATGTAAATAGTTGAGTTTGGAAACATTTACTTTTTGAAAATGGCTGCATGTTCTGTTTTAAAATAGCTACATAATCCAGTTCTTCAAAGGACGATTTTGAAGAAGCACTTTTCTCATTGACCCATTTAGATAGTTTAGGCAGTTCTAAATACTTTCACAATGTATTTTATAATTCTGAAGTGTGGTTTTTGTGAATTTTTGGTGTTCAAAATTGAAAATGTTACACTGCCAATATAAAAATACTAGTACCTGAATTATTTGTAACATCACATCCCCAGTAATATGCTGCTAAATTAACACGGCAAATTTGGCAAAAACCTCGGTGAAAAAGATGTGTACTGATGGCTTTATCTTACTTATCTTACGTTGTTGCAACCAAGTTTAGGATGAGAATTGGGTTATTGTCTTTTGGTTTTAGAAGCATGATTGAAATGGCTTGCCAATAACTGTCATCAATAAAAAGCAATGGAACTCATGCGTAGGATAAAAATATGGCACACTTTGTTCACGGTAATTAATCAAACCATACGCGAACGCTTATCCATCTTCCAAATCTCAGATCATTTTGTGTTTTTCGTCTTAAGTTAATAAGTTTAAGTTTTTGCACACGAATTTTTTGCGCAAGTACGAACCCTCGAATACACGAGGGGGCCTTGAGGTTTTGCTAGCGTCGTTTAAAGCTGTTGTTTCAACATTTAAGGCCTCTACCTTGAACAACAATACAAATTCGTTCACTGAGCACACATCGAAGATCGATACTGTTTAAAAGATGATAATCACTTAGGAACAGTCCAAAAATTTGAATGACCGAAGGGCTTTAAAATTTGCAATTAAAAATGAAAAAAACGAGATGATCCAGATTGGAAACTGGGCGTTCGTGCGGGTATTGACTAAACTCCTTTAAACTTTGTTAGTTTGAAGAACGTGTGCAATATTTTAACCCTATACGTATGTGTTCCAATTGCCTTTTATTTGTGTGATTTTTTGGAGCAAGCCAATTTCGAAAGTACTTCTCGGGGAAAGAATTGTGAGGTTGCTTATTTGATTTTGGAAAAACTGATCTGGCAATAATGTTTATGATGTAGCAAGTAACAAAACTACTTCGTTATCCCAGTGATCCAGGGTCGTGCCAACAGCTGTTAAAAATGATCATCATTTGCAGTTGCTCATCAAGCTTGATAATTTGGGGAGCTTATATTAATTATATGAATTTTATTACTCCGAAAAAATATTTCGCGCTGAACTTTATGCGACGATTTGAAAGGATTTCATCGGACTTTAAAATGGCAAATTTTAGATTAATGAACACTCCACCCCCACCCCCTTTTTTCCACAATATATTGTAGCTACAATGTCCATCTCTAAATATTTTTCCAAAATTTTCCCCACTCATATATTTAGCGACGTTTTCCCCACCAGCGGATCGATGTTCTATCGGAATACATTACTGAAAATATATTTCCATTTTAAAATACTTCAGAGCAAATCTTATTTGAAGTACCCTGCCTCAAATATTCTTTAGAAATTTCTAACCAACGGCGATGTTAAAAAGTCTTTGAAATTTCAAATGTTTATCTTGACCTATACCGTAGATCTTCGCTCGTTTCCTCAATGTTAACTTTTTTCGACACACATTTTAGTTCACTAGATGTATAGCTAATGTACTTTTCTCGACACACAAAATACATTTTAATCGGGTATAAACTTCTTCTCTTAATTGTAATGTTTAGGCGAGTTGTTTGCCAAATGTCCAGTTGATGCTCATCCTGGTATTGCTGTTGAGTCCGTCTTAGATAGCAGCCGATATTTCGTCTTGAGAATTCAGGATGATGGTGGTATGTTTTAACACGATATCGATTATTTAGTTTTCATGAAACGAAAAGGATGTTCAAGTTTGAGTGGTGTTCAAGTTTAAGGGGTGCATGCAAGAAGTGTTAAGGAGTGTTCGAGAATTACATTTTTGATTAAAGTGCTGAAGACAGTTTCCCTGTCTATCGACGAGATTATGTACATGCGATGTGATGTCGTGACCATCGTATAATTTTTTTTGCAACTATGTATTTTTTGTTTTATTTTTGTTACTCTAAATGAATGATTTCCCTTCACTTATTTACTATTTGCTTCCTGTAAAAACATCAGCTTTCTCGTACACGAAAGTATGCAGGCTTAAGTAGCTATCAGGAGCGAATGCATCATGCTGTGCTCCCTGAAGTTTAACTTCTATACAGTACAAATTTTTAAACAACGTTAATAATTCATTTTATTTGAAAATTTGATACTTGCCAAGAATTCCATGCATTATTACGAATAAAACCAACAATACAATATTTTTTCATCTTATTCTTGCCTTTTTCGGCTCGTACCTCTTTCTTCGTCGTTGTATCTTTGCATTGCCTGCTAAAAGGAAGCTTTGCAGCACTTTCTGCTATGACCTACAAATTGGATCATATTAACACTGTGCGTGCAATTATTTGCCTTTTTGGCCTGTTTTTGATGTAAAATATCTTAACTTGTGGGGGCTTTTTTAGCAACACCCTGTATACATTGGTTGTTAATGCATGTTATCAAGGAACATTATTGGCTAGTGAAAACGTAGTTGGCCTTCGGTTTAAAACACAACCCTAATATATAGAAGTAGACATAAGCCTTATACCAAAGTCCATTATTTATATTCATGTAGCTGCATTGATAGCTCTTTATTTCGCTAACGAACATGTACTGTTCGTGGAAGTGTTTTGAAATAAAATATCTTAACATGTAACATATAAAGTATTATGTATATAGTATATACGTAGTGAACATCGCTATTTAACTAATAATCTATTTGTTTTGTTCAGTGAATAGATTTTTCGGTGAATTCATCGTTTTTACTTTCTATTATTTTTTTTTTAACCGATAGTTTTTTTCTAGGCCGTCATGCTTTTATCGGAATAGGTTTTCAAGATCGAGGAGACTCGTTTGATTTCAATGTTTCACTACAAGATCATTTTAAGTACGTGAACCTTGTTTTTTTACATATTCGTTTAGATTAATATTTTTTATGGTTTTTTTTGTCATCGCAAAATCGTTGCCTTTCATAAGCCCATACTTGTCGTATCGGTCTATGCCAGTGGTCTATGCAATGTATTGAAGAAAAGATTCTCTCCTTTCCTCCTATGTCACATCCGTTTTCAACTGTCGCATAAATTATACTGCATTATTCAAGCTGCTCCCAGGAACGTCTTCCAACTCTGTTCTGATATCATCTTTTACGAACTTTTTAACATTTTTGGCAGAAAGAACTTTAAGACACGAGATACAAGCAAAATTTACTGAAGATACACTACCAAGCTGAAAATAACTCATTTCACAAAAGCTTTTTGAATTAGATATGCGAAGACAAGCTTTTCTTCAATATTGCGTGCGTTTACCCGTACAAAATGTATGGTTTTATGATATAGATTAAGAAAAAATTCGAACAGTGGCTGCATAATCATGCGTACAATTACATATGATAGAGGTGTTAATGATTAATGAATTACCAATTGCAGTTCATATGTAGTAACATTAGTTATTTTGTGTGTTTTTTTAGGCAACTTAAGCAAGAGAAAGATCACGCTGATTCAGAGACAGTGAATGCTCCTAAGTTAGATCTTGGTTTTAAAGAAGGTCAAACAATAAGAATAAATTTTGGGGTATGTTTAGTTTTTCTAAAAAATTGAAACAAACAAAACCGATTATTCACTTGTAGCTACTGTTGAAAAAAGCTATCACTATTTTATTCTTAAAACAATGTATATTGCAATGACAACTGCAATCAATAGGTGATTACTCATGTAGTGAGTTAAGAAGGCTTAAGGAGGCTCCTACAATTCACCCGAGATTCGGGTGTTTCAGGTAGCCTTCACTTTACAACATTATTTTGATCACACACACTGAAACTTTGGAAATATGAAGTATGCGGGAATATTCAAGAATGTCAGTAAAGTCTAAAAATGCTTGAATAGGATAACTTTTTGCGTTGTTATGGCAACCATGTCTCATTTTCTTTTACACTTTTATTGTCTAGTTTTTAAGGAATTGACCGTATCTTTTTTTTTGGTTCCGTGAATTTTTCTGATTTTTTGCGTGACGATTGTTATTATTCATTCAGGAAACATGTTGAACATTGAAGGATTTCTATAAATAATTTTTTGAGATATTTGAAATTTCGGCTACATGAAAACTTATTTGTAGATTTTCTTCTATTTTGCGTATGTTATATTTTTTAGTAATAAACATCCACTTTTAACTTTTAACAAAATTTACCGAAGGAAAAACGAAAAAATTTTCAACAAAGTCAGCGCGGCCATGCGTTTATGTAGAAAAAAATCCACTCGACATTAGCGCAATATGCGCGTGCAAATTATCACCAGTCCCCTGCTTAGTAACTGCAGGGAGCCTCCTTTTACACTGTGGCTTGTACAAACACAAGCCGTGCAAACGTCGTCAAGAGACTGAATTTAGTTGAAAGAATAGATATCATTAAAGGTCCTCATTTTTGTCTTAGCTCACAGGTCCCGTAACGTAATTAGTAATCCGCCACTGTTTCCAGTAGAAACCAATGCACACGATTAAAATATTTTTGTTGGAGATGCGAATGCGATATTGTTTTTATCACTTGTTAAACTGCGTAGACCATATCAACATGATTCTTACGAATATTTCGTGAAAGTTCTTAAATTAAAAGAAGGTGTTTGAGTGTCCTTTTGTTCTAGTTTTTTGGTCAAATTCTAAGAAACATGTGATTTAGGGTACTAACTTCTTTTTTCACTAGTAGAGGTAAATTGTAGTCTTTAGGCGCTAATTTAGCCCGCGGTTAGCCTGGATTCAGCCAAGCGATAAATGATTTTGGCAAATTGAAACGATTCACTACTCATTATCAGATAAATCTTCCCGAGCAATTTCACAATATTCTGGTTTAATAACTTTGTAAAGCATTTAAAATTACCACAACCAATTTGGCCTAATTTAAAAATTGCGAAAGGAATGACTTGTGGCGCTTAACAAACAATTGTAATTTTTAACCTTGAAGTTTTGCCTCCTTTTTAATATCTCGAAATTATTTCACGCCTCACTGAATCCCGGTTGGCCAGGATCATGTAAGCAGCGCCTTAAAGTCTTAATTCGTAGTGTCGGAGCTTTTAAGTAAGCTATGCCTCGCATTACATAAAAACGCACTATTCTTCGATTCATCAGATTTTCTGCTTTTCTATATTTTGATCATATTCGTGTGACGATTTATTGCATCAGTTGTGTTTTGCATGCAATTCAAGGTCTTCAAAATCTGTCGTCGAGTGTTTTTGAAAGATACCTAAATTTTAATATTTTTGCATTGCACGAACCCCAAATGAACGAGCTTTCTTTTTGTAGAACAAAACTGCCAGTGCGCCGACAAACAAATCGAAATATACAGGTATGCTATAGTTATGGATATGTTTCAATCATATTGCTTTTTATATCATTTTGTAAAAGGCATGCCTTTATTGGTCTATAGCCGTGTTTGTATTAGCCTGTACAAACAGATTTGAGCTCGACCTTAGGCCTGAGACTTGTGCAAACACAGCAAACATCGCAAATTATAAATCTAAGTGTTCCTTGCAAGTGAGGACCAGGCTTATGTACGTGCGCGCGTCTTTTATTTCTTGTTTCATTTACTGTACTTTTGTTCGATGCACCGTTGTAGGAAACTCCACTGTAGGTGTACTACCACCGCCACCAAGCGGAAATGTGGTACCAAGGATTGCTGGACCAGTTTCTGCAACAAGTGGCAAACCAAATACGACCAGCAACATCGGCTCATCTGCGTTTCAGCCCACAAATATACCACTAATGACGAATAACACGCCTTCTGACTGGAGTGACTTTACGATGGCATCTTCATCGAACCAACCGTAAGTCTTGTGCAATGAATGATGAGAAACTTTTAATTTTTAATTGTACATGACAGGTGATGTTTTTCATGTCCTGCAATTTGATTGACTGCAGAAGCGGCGGCTTTCTACGAAATCTTGACCGTGATCAAGAAGTGTGTTTGTTAAAAATTTGTTTACAAAGTACCATTTAAATTTTTAAAATTGATTTAAAAGCCATGTAAATTATTCAAGTTGAAAGTAAAGTGTATTCAGACGGCACACTCAAATCTGTATTAAGGTTTGATTTTTAAAATGTGTGATAGGATTGGTTTAGTTTTTAATCTTTCTTTTATGTTTTGTTTTTTTGCCATCTTTCAAGGTGGCGTCCTTGCGTTCGTAGAAAGCAATCAATTACCGTCTTAATAAACCACATAAAAATAAAAATGTTGTTTATCGGTGAAGGTTGGTCCTGAAAAATATCATCAGTTCGAACCTTCCAGCCGGTAAATAACATACATTTTTTATTTTTATTTAGTGGTCCAAAATGATATTTTTTTATTTCCAGCAATTTGATTGGCTGCCTGAGAGTAGTTATCATGTGACAAAGCTGCATGATAACTACTCCTGAGCGGGCAGCTTTTTACGATAGCTGAAGCGATATTTTTTCGCAATATATTTGTTTACGAAGTGAAATGTAAATTCTTAAAATTGATTTAAAAGCGATATAAATTGGTGAACGAGTGGGCAAAGTGTATTCAGATAAAAGTTATCATAGCAAGTATGAATTTTACTCTCCAGACGAAGCGAAGTTTGTAGAAAAGAATCCAATTTTAGTCTCAACATCAAGTGGCATCGGCCGTCGGCCATTTTACAACGCGAATTTCTTCATAATAAAAATAAAAAATAAATATGTTATTTATACGTCATATGACACGTCATTGACTTTAAAATAACCAAAAATTAAAAGTGAGATCACAAAAAAGGTGGAAATCATGCAGCGAACAAACCAATATGTTTTTTAAGAAATATCTGCTTGTCCTTAAATTATCGTTGAAATTCATATGTTATGTACCGGCTGAAAGGCCCGTGCTGAAAAATTTTTTTTCGTACTGTCAAAATAGGCCGAAGATGATATTTTTTCAGCAAGGACTGACCTAAACGGTAAACAACGTTTTATTTTTTTATAATAAAGCAATTCATGTTGTTATATGGTCGATGTGGCTTGTTGAGACTAAAATTTAATTATTTTCTACAAAGTTGACTTCGTCTGCATGGTAAAATTCACTCTCGCCATGATAACTACCATCTGAAAACATTTTCTTTCTACTTAAGTACTTTAAATAAAATAACTTTACATGGCTTTTTAATAAATTTTAACAATTTAAATTTCCCTTCGTAATCTCCATCGAAAAAATCATCACTTTTGGATCACGGTCAAGATATCGTAAAAAGCTGCCCGCTGCTGTAGCCAATCGGACTGCAGGGCATCAAAATATATCACTCCGCATATAAAAATAAAAATGTTTATCTTTTTTAGGTCCTCGCAAGACGCATCCTGGGTGCAATTTTAAACAACTATCTTGAGAGCGATGTGTCCAAGGCATAGTTTTTCGGCCCAACTTATGCCATTTTCCTCATAATGTCGCTGCTTTAATTAATTACTTTTGAAAACTGAACTCTCCAAGTGTGAACAACTTTGCGAAAGCGAAAATAGAGGAGAACTTTTTAATGTATGGAATAAATCAAATAGGCTGTATTAATTGTGATCGGTCATAGTTCATTGTTTGTAATATGGCAGTTTCTTTGTACATCGAAATACGTCTGTTAGAGAAGTGTATGTTTTAGTGGCAATTTTCATTTAAAACTTGATTACTGGAGATTTTTGTGTATTTTGTACGTTTAATCGGACGATTTACTAAGTTTGTCGACGACAGTAGTGATGGGTACGGTGGCCCACAAGTACAAGCACACTTACAAATAACAGCATACGCCCACGAATTCGAGGATGCACACTTACAAATAACAGCATACGCGCACAAATTCGAGGATGCACACTTACAAATAACAGCATACGCGCACAAATTCGAATGACTAGAGGCCGAAGGTTTAATTTCTGATACACTTGCACCACAGTTCTCGCAGAAATTTGCATTTTCATCCTTTTCTTTTCCACATTGTGGACAAAACATCGTTGGGTTATTGACTTATTGCTATTGTGAACATGTGAATCATGAAATATTTCTCGCCGGCAATCTTTTCGGTTTTTGCAGCCCGATTTTACGAAACGTCATGTAATAAGCCATGAATGTGAATATTTATTTGTGCGCGTATGCTGTTAGTTGTAAGTGTGCTTGTACTTGTGGGCCACTCTCGAATTTGTGGGCGTATGCTGTTATGTGTAAGTGTGCTTGTACTTGTGGGCCACTCTGGAATTTGTGCGCGTATGCTGTTATTTGTAAGTGTGCATGCTCGAATTTGTGCGCGTATGCTGTTATTTGTAAGTGTGCATCCTCGAATTTGTGCGCGTATGCTGTTATTTGTAAGTGTGCTTGTACTTGTGGGCCACCGTAGATGGGCGATTACCAATTACTTGGTATCGATACCGCCCGATACCGAGCCTAATCCGGAAGTAGTCGATACTGCCTGGTATCGAAAAAGGACTTCGATTACTTTTTAAGTTTCATTATTATGTAAGTTTGTCTTCCTTTTCATTATTGGTTTTAACAAACATGTTTTTTTTTCTGTTTTATTATTTTAATATTTTATTCACTTTTACTAAACAATACACTTCGAGATCTCGCCTTCAGAATAATAACATGTAACCAATTTTTTCAATTCGAATTTATACAGCTTCTGAAAACTTATCGTTACTCCTAATAATGTTATGACAGTTTGTAATTTAAGACAAGAAAAATAAAAATTTCGTCGTATTGTTGAAGTATATAAGGCCACACTTTTGCAATCCATTATCAGATCTTTATCAAGTGACTTAGACGTTTATTTTCGAAATTGGAGAAAGTAATCGCTTTAGTAATCGATACCTTGATACTTTTAAGAAAAAGTGATCGGTATCGTATCGAATCGATATTAGCGGTATCGCCCATCACTAGACGACAGAAATATGATAATACAAAACTGGTGTCTTATATATAAGGAGCTGTTGAGTCAGACACAGTAAGCAACGAAGCTGGAGAAAGACGCAGAAGCAGACGCCGAATGCACAAAAAAAATGGTGTCATATACCAGTGGACTCCAGATTCCAAAACCTTGAATATTACTGGTTTCTGGATTTGGGACATTTTTTCAGAACATTGCAACAAATTAACAAATTTAGGCATTTCAATTTACAGGCTTTTATAACCACGTTTCAAGCAGCTTTTCAGTTAGATTTTGCTATTCTGCTACATGTAGTGAAAGATAAAATTTGTGATGTTCAATTTTAGACATTTAATCGTACATAACACTCAGCAAATATTTTTTTGAAAAACAAAACACTGAAGACAGAAATAATGTTGATGTGAGAAGGATCTATGACCGAGAATGAAGTTAGAAAGTAGAGACATGAGTTGGAAAACTTCCGGTAGGAAGTCAGTTTGAAAATATATGCATTTTCTTCCGCCCGTGACGAATTAAACCTGATTCCACCCGCTGTGCCGTTTACATATGCTATTTTTCTTTGAACACGTGTGGCGAACTGACAATGGTTGAATTGCATTGTTTTTGGAAAAGTTTCGATTGAATTCATCGTAGCCGATTTTTCAGTTTTATTTACTATGGAAGTTGTTTCGAAGTTTTTTGACGTATATTGCAATCTATGGGAATATGCAGGGCTACACATGTGCGCTCAAGTACGACAAGAAAGAGCATCCAATATTAGCGATGGTTTAAGCGATTTTTTGCATTCCACAATCGTTGCCTGCTGCGGTGAACGTGACAAACTTATAGCTACTGGCCATTTCACGTTGGAGAAGCACGCATGTATGGAAGATATGATAACGAGTGTTTTGCAAAAGATCTTCACTAGTCGCAAATTGAAAAAGAAAGATGATAACGTTTTAGCGCGCGGATTTTGGTTGAACCAGGATGTTTCACCGACAATGGGAGGACTTAATGGTTGCAACTATCGCAATAGTCAAATCTGTTGGTCAAATAACAGCATGGTGCAATATGTTCAAGGAGAAATGTTCGAACAGCTGCATGTGTTCTTAGGCAGTGATCTTATGGCGCATTTGTTAGTGAATCTCAGCGTTTTTATTCGGGAAGGTGACACTTTTATCCAAGTGTGTGGGCAATCAATCCATAACATGAAACCTGCTTTTTCTGAACACCATGGACAAACTGGTAAATTAACTCGGCTTAGATAAGTATTAAAATTTCACATGTAAGTCTTGACAGACTTGACTTGAGTCAGCTTCGTCATTGATCAGGAGCCCATGACCAGTGACATCAGAAACTTTTAGGAAAGGGGGAGTCCTAGAATTAATTTACATATTATGCTTGCTTTTGAATACTACTAATATTTTTGAATTGTATAAGCGAAGAGTAATGCAAGCTAACACCTTCATCCCTTCTTACTTTATTTTTGCAATTATCCATTATGAAGTAGGACTATAGCCCAAAGTACCTCTTTTTAAGCCTTCATTACTTTGTTAGTTTCACTGTGAATTAAGGAAAAAGCGAGTCTCACTTGAGCCAACTGCTTACCCTCTTTCCATAATTGTAAAGCATAACATAGAAAAACAGTTTATGATGTTTTTTACCTTACCAGACTGCAGACTTGGGTACAGCCTTGCTTCATATTGAATGGTTTCTCAGCACCTGTATTGTACAGTTTACAACATTTTACAATGTGATGTGTTTCTATAATCAAGAAAAGTTTTATCCATTTATAGAAAAAGATTTTAGAAGCAAACTTGTTTCAAAACAAACTTGTTTTGCTATCTTTCAATATGATTGAACTTTATCTTTCTGTCATGCATAAACCTTGGATTTGAAGAATTTTCCAACTATTTTAATCGTATTATTTAACTGTGAGGTAAAATTTCTTCAGATGTGCTTCACATGATTTATTTAGTACATGACTGTTTGTTATTTGCATAACTCTTATTGGATATTCTTCAATGCAAACATTGAAATACAATAATTTAGTCATATGTTTTTTTTAATGTGAATTCCCAATAAGTATTTGCAAAAATTGCTATTTCTATGGCTCGCTTTATTATTTTGTCACAACTGCATTGTCAAGCTTCAGTGAAATGTGAAAAACAGGATTGGTTGTATACACAACTAGCTATTTGATATTTTACACATGCGTTGATAAATCTGTTGAAAAATCTCAAACTTTCTTAATTTGAAATTGCCACACAGTAGTAATGTGAAGAAATATGTATGGTTTCTGGCATGTTTTAACAATGTAATCTCATCACGTTGTTTACATTAAACAAATAGTAGATGTTTATCGCGTTTGCACAGGCTTATGCAAACCGAGGAGATCTTTGGGAGAACTTGAGAACTGATCAGTGCAAGCCCAAGAATGCAAGATCGATAATTAAGGGGGAGAGGGTGCTCATATTCATATATGTATGATATGCAGTGGTATGTTTTTTTGAAATTCATTGTTCTCAATAAATTATAACGTGCATTTATGAATATGAGCCCCCCTCTTCGGGCTCCCAATGGCAATTATCGATCTTCTTACGTACGTCCGTGGAGGTTTTGCGCCTCCTCTAGAGCTTTACTGATAAAGTTTCGCTAACGTTCCCAAATCTTCGAATATTTCGAGTGTTTTGTTTTGTACGTAAATGCTATTTTTTGTAGTCGTCATCGACTATGCGTAAATTTGGGCTGGCAAAAACTTAAATGACATTAAAACATGAATTATTGCGAAAACATTAATGGCCTAATGTGCATTATTTTAACCTATGAAACAAAATGTGCTCAATTCGTTTGCAGTGTCATGCCGCCCTTCCGTGAACATGTTTAAATCAATAGTATACATGTACAAAACGCATGTCACACAAAACGAACAACCCTTCAAGTTTCACATGACAAATGAGGACGCAACGTTTTAGCTCATGAGTCAACGTCACTTATTTTCTGGCCTTAAAATGAATGCGTTTTTTATACACTTGTGTCCTTTCAAATGAAAAATGTGTCCTTTTAATTGAAGTTATGTATCTTTTAGGAAAAAATAAGAATTCAGAAATTTTTGAAAAATTACCTATTTTAAACTAAAGCCTACGTCACTTATAGTTGTAATTGTTGCAAACCTTCATCGTTGATAGAATTGTAACAATTACACTATAAGTGAACTGGCTTAAAAATGTCGTGCCATGTGCTCCACGAAAGTGCCACATCTTCGATTAAACATGGTAGCCTCCCTGTTTTTAATTTATCCTCACTGCTATTTACTAATTACTATCGTTTTGACATCCATAGATGGTGGCAATAGACAGCTTCAAAGGGATATATTTTATTCATCTGGGCAGGATTCGAAGTCGATACGATTGTTGAAAAAGGACCACGTAATGGAGGTTGCACCTTGCAGCCCACAGGGAGCCGATCGTCTCATAAAAGCGATTTATGGTGGGTCTCGGGAAGTGAAAAAGATTCCAAAACAGTTGAAAGAGTCGATTCCCATTTTTCAACAATTTTTACGTCGATATAAATCGTGTCCGTTGAAAGACATTTTGAACAAGACTTGTCCAACGAGCGGCACTTATCAAAATAAGAATGGTGGAGTTTCTAATGTACCATACTTTCAGGTAATAGACCGCTTTAGATAAGAAGACACAGACTACTTTGGAGAAGCGAAGGCAAATCGTTCGGACAGGCACGAGTAAAATTTGCATTTTGTCATTTTTCCGGCGTCAACGCGAGTGACAAGACCACGTCTTGTTGAGCGTTTATGCGTTCAGTCCAAGACGGCTTGTTAGAATAAGCTTCACCACACAAGTTCAATTCAGCAAAATATAATAATGCGACAATTTATCTTAAAATATTCCGCCTAATCGCACTCTGTATGAAGGAACCTCACGCTCTAAAGATGCAGACGAAGCTACATGTATATTCAGCCTCAGTGGACACTTCCTAAAGTCCCAAATTTAGTCTCATATAGCTACTTGGTAATAATGAAACATCCATCAAGCGGACACCTTCGTTAAGCGGAGCACCAGTTCGTTCCCCGAGGATGAATGTATAAAACAGCTTTGACGCTATACATTTCTGAAGGGCTGATTACATGAACCCGGTGAAACGATTCAGTTCTTATCATCAGACAGAGCTTTTTCAGCACTTTCACAATATTCTGAGTTTATAAATACGCCAAACATTCACTATGAAAATAACCAATTTGGCGTAGTATGATAATTACAACACGAATGACCTGTAGCGCTTAACAAACAGTTGTAATTTTTTCGCTTCAAGTTTTTACTCTTTTTAATGTCCTATTGCAGGGGTCTCCAAACTACGGCCCGTTGGGCTTCTCAATCCGGCCCACAGAGGCACTTCAGAAAAAATAATAATATTATTAAACAAAATAAATTTTGTGCAGAAAGTTCACGTTATGTCGCAAGCCAACTAGCAAGAGTGGCTTACGTCAATTTTTCTCCCAACTTCCTACTTCCGTTTCAAGCACACTGCGAAATTTAAAAAGCTGAAGGATAACATGGAAATTTTTTATATTCTTCGGCCCTCAACATGCTGGATGAAAGTTCATGTGGCCCTCTGGCTGTAAAGTTTGGAGACCCCTGTCCTATTGCAACGGGTGGAATTTACAATATCTCATTGCGGTCCAGAATCCTATAGCGAGCGAAGACTTGTTTTGTTTTGTTTTGTTTTAAAAAGGAAATAATCAGCCAACTTTTAATTCTAAAGGCGGAAACAAACGCATTCAACAACACATTCAACATTGTCTTCAACTTTGTCAAATCATGATGGCCAAACGGACAAAACATGTCATTCAACATCGTTCAACATGTTCAATATATTTCAACACATTTGGCCAAACGCACTCAACGTGTTGAGTTCAACAATGTTGATTGATGTTGAATGCAATGTTGTATGCGTTTGTCCCGGCTTTAAGGGCCACTGAGTTCTATAATAACTGGAGCGGCTATCTCAAACACAGCTTTAATTAGCAGCTGACGCCAAAAAAATGGAGGATTTGTTCCATTACCGCTGAGATTTACCGAAATTGACTGCTTTTCCGAAAATCTCACAATTTCTCTCTCCCCCCTTAAGAAAGAGTGAGGAAAAAGTATATGTTTATGTGTTTTTCGCATATTTGGCAAGCATTTTAATATGAAAATCACTGTAAAAACATAAATTTCATAAAAGCGAGTCTACTGTGATTGCCAGTTGTCGGCTTCTATGACGGATGCCTTTTTTAACTATTGACGAACGAGCTGTTTGTTGGCCACATATAAATGCAGATGTGCGCGTCGTAACTGTCGTTTAACGATTTGCTCGATCAAAGTTTGTAGTACGCACGAAACAAAATATATCATATTTTATCTCAACAGATCACGAGAGAAATGTTAGCTCATTTATTCTCATTAGTTTTTTGCTTTCTTTTATGTGATGGCCTTTTTCGCAACAATTGTAGGATTTGTTTTTGTGCATGCATCTCGCGTTTCGTAAATGAATAATGAAAAAAATATTGTATACAAATCACGAGAAGTCGACAATCTTTGAGATTTTTGTGGTCTTCTGAACAAGAACTGCATCACATACTTGCCAAGTTGTAGTATATTTGATTTCGTTGTAATGATTTTGAAATGGCAAAAAGCAAATAATTAAAACACTTAAATTACAATAGTGTTTATAATACTTGAAAACATTAATGCACAATTGTGTATTTAATACTTCTCTTCTTTTTCTCTTTTTTATATGTTTCCTCTTAGCCTTGTGAGTTCAGAATTTGATTGACTAATACAGCTTTCACCCCAATAATAAATTTTATACCCATATTTAATACCAGTTGCTATGGGATTTTTCCCTCTAAGTATGCAACATCTGGTGTTGTGTATACAAGAATTATGAAATGCATGTACTCAAGTAAAAATAAGGCAATAAAACCAGATGAATTAAACACATTTTGTGTTTTTTAATGTTAGCAGCATAACAGCTTTTCAGTAATTATAGAGTTATTAAACTGTACTACCTGTATTTCATTCATATTATGAAATGAATTAAGAAGCAAAAAATTGAAGAAAAACTTGGAAAAGTCAAAACATTTCCCTGGATTATCAAAGTAGAAAATATAGCTAATGGCAAATGTTCATTCTGTACTTTATTAGGTAAATGAGCTCAAAATATTTTTTCAGCAAAACTGAAATTGAGAAGAAATATATAGCACTGAAGTTTTCATCACTGAATCTTTAATGCTTCAATATGGCATGCATTACATACAAGTAACATACAAACAGCATTCTACTAAAATAATTTAATAAAGAGATGTGACATGATTTTACAATTTAGTTGTACAAAAATTGTACAGTTGCACTAAGTCATCATCAATCCCAGTATCAATATTGACATAAGCAAACTTTATGACCTTTTTACATGACATTTCATCAAACATCAAGACACACAAAACCTTGTCATCTTTATTTGGTACTTGACCTTTACTTTCAAAGCATTCAAGGGATCTTTACTAAATCCATTATCTCCATCCATAGAATTAGTCTAAGTTCAAATAACTGTTGGACAGGGAAGTCTGTAAATCATTTACCTTTGTCTTTACCTTATTCATGTTTGTATTCAGCCTTAGCATTTTGCAGTTAGTCTCTGTCTGGTGAATAGCATCTTCCAATTGTCTTAATATAGCGATCTATGAAATAGTGGTACTGCAGCATATTCCAGAAACATTTTGCTATCCGATCATCTCTTCATGTTGTCTGCAAATTGATCAGAACAAACTCTGCTCTACTTCATGGGTTCTCTTTGGGGTGATCGCTTCTTCATAGTATATGGCCACTGAGTAAAAACAGCAGAATCTTTTTTCGCGTCAGGGAAACCATTTTGCAAACAGATTTACGGTTTCACACATTAACAAATAAGTGGAAAAGTATGTTGATATTTAAAAACAAAAACAGAAAAACATCGGTCGGATTTTATCGGTCAGGCTTCAAGTCAGACTTCAAGTTCAATTGCTTTTCAATTTTTGATGAACAAACAAAACAAATATCTCACCTGTGAAAGCGACATGTTCCTTTTTGTGGACACTACGATATCCAACAATTGAATGATTGAAGTGTTGGCATTTTAAAAAAGATGCCAAAAAAGATATCGTGTTTGTTTTTGAAAAATGTTGTATAATTAGCTATATAGACATCAGGGGGAGGTCGAGAATATAATTTTTCTGCAAAGCGATCATTTCAGCGGAAATAGGTCCATTGGCCGCCATTTTTTTGGCGTCAGGTCCCAGTCCACTTAGCCGCTCCAGTTATTATAGAACTCAATGTTATAGGCTTGATTATATGGAGGCGAGCTGGCCCGGATAGCGAGCTAGCCCGATGATTTAAAGGGATTGAATGTCCAATTGTCCAGTTAAGTTAAAGAATTTGTGTCAACCAAGATTCATTGGGCGCTTTTGTTTATGTTTATATCGTTACTTTTTGAGCTTGCAACACACTGAATTCAATCTAGTCACTACATCGTCTAATTTATCTGAAAAGTTTCTGAAAAACATTGATTAAAAACTTTATTTTACACCAATTATTACCGTTTGTCTTACGTAATTGCATGGACTACAATAAAAAAATCCGCCATTTTCCTGACCCACAAACATGGTCGTCCCTGGGCTGTTCTGCCCATAGAGATTATAAATAGTACCAGAGATGGCATCATAATATAATCTATAGTCCAAAATATGGTACGCGTTTTTGGGGGGCAAAATCGATTTCCGGATGTTAAGCCACAGTGGAACACAATGATTGTTTGACTTTTTACTACATATTAAGCGTAAATACTCTAGTGAATACTATCACGATCTAATTGTTGAACTATTCTTGCCCTTTTATCGTAATTTTAGATGGTTAGGCCACTTGTATTTTGCAAAACATGTTTGTGTTGCTTTTTTACTCATTCAGTAAATTATAAGTCGCAAGTCATTGCTTGATAAAAAGACCTTTTTCGTCTTTAATTCAACCGCTAACAGACTTCAAAAAACATATATTTGTCATCCATACCGGAAAAATGCTAAAAACTGTTGACCTGTGTGAATATGCGGGTTGTAAAAACAAAAAAAATCTGCGTATAATCATAATAAAAGCTCTCTAAAAACAAGTATTAACTCTTTAAAATGACAAATTTTCTTGATGCCCATACAAAAGAGCAAAAAAACTTACTAAATGTATTAAAAAAGAATCCAAAACTCGAAGCAGATAGAAAAAACATCACTTGTTTACTTCGTGTTTTAATCCGGGACCTAAATTCCCCCCACCCCACCCCCCAATTTACGCGTCTCCTAAATTCGTCATCAATGCCACCTCTAGTTTTATTTATAATCTCTATGGTCCTGCCGTAATTAACGCGCAAGCTGCAATGTATCTTGGTTTACACCATTTGTTGACACACATTCTTTAGTCTTACGTTGTTTTTGTAAAAGCATTTCTTAATGTGAACAAGTGGATTGAAAACTGGGAGTATTTTGTTTACGGTGTAATTATAGTTTTCAGTGACGTTTTTAATAATTCTTTATTACAGGTAAAAGCTTTTTTAACCACGATCGTTGTTCGAACCATCCCGATGAAAGTATGGGGATCGCATCGCAACCAGAGGACGTTCATTTCAAATGTGGTAAAATTTACGACTGCCAGGATAAACGAAAAGTTATTTAAATCATTGATTCTCCGAGGTATTAGCATGAATGATTGCAATTTTACCAATAAATCTAATGGTTTTGGCCGCTCACCTCTAACACTATCCCAGAAAAAGGAAGACTTGATAAGAACTTTGCTCTTCTGGTTGGTGGAATCTTACATCAGTCCGATTGTAAAACGTGCTTTCTTTGTTACGGAAACGCAGTCTGGAGGCAATCACGTGTTCTTTTATAGAAAGAACGTGTTTTCCCTAGCTCAAGAGGAGGCCGTTAATAAACTTGTAAAAACCACTTTGAAACCCCTAACTGAACAGGATGCAACTGAATTGCTCAACAATCGTCATTGTCTTGGGCTTGGTCGCGTGCGGTTTATTCCGAAAACAAGGTATACTCACTTCTTGTTGTATTTTATATCATGCTCAGGGGTTGAATTGAGCCCCTGCCTGGTCGCCAAATGCGACAAAAGATTTCATATGGCGACCAGATATTGTGCGAAGGTGGCCCTCGAGGCAACCAAATAAAAATGAAAATATACAAACCATCAAAACAGTTGAGTAGTATATATAAAATATCGCTTATATTCCACATACAAGCAACATTTTACCCCGTAAAATCAAACATCTTTTCGATTAACAGTATACGTTTCAACACAAAATTTTACTAATTTAAACAATGAAGCAAAACTCATTAAGTTGTTCTGTTTGTGCTTTATTTGATCTTTTTTTATAACTATCAGAAAGGCAACCCTGCTGCTATATTTGACCACCAACTTAAATTTCTTAGGGGCTGTTTATGTGTAGCCGAGCTTGCCCGCTTAGAGGGATAGCCCGGTAAACGAAATAAATTTTTGATGTGATCTCGACGTTTTTCGCGGTCGAAATCAAGACTTGTATAAAGTATCTATTTTAATCTGATAGATTGACAATAAAATGCTACATCATCTTTGTATCGCAGAGAAAGTTCATTCTTTGAACCATTCTCGTGTCTATTTTGCTCGTTTTCGCACGTGCACGTATATTCCGCCAGTTGAAATTTAGCTAGGCAGTTGAGCGTTTACATGAGAAAAAATTTATCCTGGCAGACGAGATCTCGCCTTTACCAAGCGAGATCTCGCTAAGCGTGCCAGCCCGTATCGCCGTATAAACGCAAAGACATTTTTAATATAATATCTACTACATAGGGAAATCTCGCTTAACTGGCTATCTCGGTAAGCGGGCCAGCTCGGCTTCCTTATAAACACGCCCTTAGTAGCCACAAAGGCCACCTAAAGCTATTTCAACCTCTGATAATTTAACCCAATGTTAATGAAAAAGGGAGGGAGGACACAGTCACTTGTTACAATAAAGTGGACTTCATTCTGAGTTTGTTTTTTTTCATTCTGATAGATCTCAAAAAGTTATTTGAAAAATGTCTAATTTCTTTTTGGTAAAATGCCGTATTTCCATAGTTCCAACGGCTCAAACACATAATTTTTCGGGGGAAGGCAGCTGATGAAGACAGCAAAGCAATATGCAAATTATTTTGCATATTGCTTTGGCGTTCAACTAAAATATTATTCTCATCTTCAAATTATTTTGCATATTGCTTTGGCGTTCAACTAAAATATTATTCTCATCTTCAAACTGGAACTCAGGAGTACATCTGTGGAGTTGTTTAAGTTTATAAGTAAGAAATGGAAGATTCTTGCGAGACTGAAGTGTCGTGCATTGAGGCACAGTTCCAACGTCGAACTTTACATGTGCCGAATGCATTATAAACAAAAGATAATGAGATGAAATTCCTAATTGCCTTTTGTCTTAAAAGCATTCGGCACATGTAAAGTTCTACGTTTGAACGGTGCCCAATGAACTCTAATACAACTGGAAGGCCAACTCAATATACACAAGCCTAGACTTGTGTGAAGCCACTTAGAAGCTGATTTGCCGCTTCGCGTGTATCTCGCGTGGACTGTTTTATTTGCGTGACGGATTGTTTTGCAAAAACTGCTAACTTGGAAATAGAATGCTAGCCTAAATGCTTTATTTTTTTCAAAACCGTTAACAAAATTCGGTTATTAATGTGTTGAGATTCGTTGTGGACGTTCCAAGACATGTTTTGTATACGTAACGCTGTATTATATAAATCATAAAAGTGAGAACTTGCTTCGAAATATGAATTTCTTATTTGTCGTCGAAAGACCAAAAATTTAAGATAAAACTGATAACAGGTAGTCTGTATCTTTGAATGCTGTGCAAAATACACACAATCCAATTAATATAACATGTCTCATAGCAATTTTATTGCTTTTAAAGTTAGACTTGCTTTGTAAGAATTTCACATGCTCTGTTTTTAGACATTAAGCTGGCTCAAAGACCACTGTTTTTTGCAAAAAATCCGGTAATTTCGAAGTGATGTATTTCGCCTCCGTACCCTCAATGGCGGCGATCATGCAGGCTTCAAAGATGGCGGTCAAGTTAGCCTTCCAGTTGTATTAGAGTTCATTGACTGTGCCTGAGTTATAATTATATGGCAAGCGTCACTTCCGGAAAATGGCGCGCTTCGATTGGCTCAGAAACATTTTTGCCGGTCCATTATTTTTCGTAATCGACCACGGTGGAAAACGCGTAATTTTACTGTTAAATGTAAACAAACTATATAATTCAACTTGGAAAACAGTTTAACTATCCAGACGATACAATTTGAAACGATTTATTTTTTTCTGGACGAAAAGTAGAAAAGGAAAGCCAACCCGTAAAAAACAGCAAGGACTAGAAAGAAAGCGAGCTTCGTTTCAGGTCAAATAATGCCATATAATAGTCCTTTTAATAACCTTGCTTTCTGTTGGTTATTAAACGCTTATTAATTTTATGTTCGAGCTATGTTATTTCTGGATATATTAATTTTTTTGTAAAAACTTAGTCAAAAGTTGTCAACAATCTTTTCGAGATCTGTCAGAGTCAATAAAAACTCAAATAGCGGTCATATAGGTTTAATCAATTCTCGAGAATTAAGAGAGATTTACTAGCTGTTGTTTACTTTGAAATAGGAATAATAGTTACACTTCTTTACTTAGTGGCTTAAGACCCATTAACAATTTGGGAAAATTGACGAATCCCCCAGAAACGCGCCGTAAGAGATCTCGTTTAGTGAACGAAGAGCTTTCTGACGCGTTGAGTGCCGTCGACTACGAATGTAAACTGTCGACAGACGTTTTCGGTGGCGGAGCAATGACCTATGGTAAAATATTCAACATGTTGGCAGCATTTAAAAAAAAGCACAGACACGAAAGGCGTCCATTACAAATCGTCAAGGTTGACTTTACGGCATGCTTTGACAGGATTCGTCAAGATAAAATGGTGGAAATTCTTGAAAAGGTAAGCCTGATTTTCTTTAAAATAAATACTTTAAAAGGGCTTTCGAACTTTTTTTAGGCTCACAATGCAGGCAAACCTGATCAAACGGTCCCGTTTTCTTACCGTTTAAAGACTGTGTGTCAAGCAAGATGCACTTATCGCTTTTGTTTATGTTTATTTTTTGATTTTCTGAGCCTTCGGCTTAATTTTTAAAAAGCTTTTAAGCTTCTAGCATAAAAGTACACTAAAAGTATTTAATTCATTTAGTTTTATTGCCTTGCTATTACATATGTACTTGCACTTCATCATTCTTGTATGAACAAAACACCAGATGTGGATACTCAGAGAACAAAATGCACTACCAACTGCTTATGAAATTTATTATTGAGGTGAAAACTATGTTAATCATTCAAATTGTGCACTTATATTGCAAATATAGGAAAAACAAAGTGAAAAAGAAGGGTAGAAGTAATAAAACTACAATTGAATTATAAACACCATTGGAAGCATAAGTGCTTTGATGATTATTTGCATTTTGCCCAATTCATATATCAATACAACAAAATCAAAATGTGCTACAATTTTACAAGTATTTGATGCAGTTGCACTTCAGAACATCACAAAAAGGTTAAAATAAAGTAATTTCTATACAATATTGTTTGTTTTCATTTACCAAACCTAAGCAGACTTGTGTCTTTTTGAAAGTTAATACGAAACTCAATTACTGAAAATCCGTAAATATCCAGAGACTTAATATTTACTTTTTTAAAGAAAAAAGTAAAAATCCCACAATTGTGGCGAAAAAGGCCATTGCCCATTGCATGAAAAGAAGCAAAATAGCAATGATAACAAATAAGCTAACTTCTCTCTCGTGAACCGTGGAGATGAACTATGATATACTTTTTTGTATAGACTAATGAGTTTAATCGATCAAACAAGTTTGAAGCTGGTAAGAAAACGACGCCCATTTGCATTCATACATGTGTAGCCGACATATAGCGCGTTTTTCGATAGTTATAAATGCATCCTCGTAGGAGCAGATAACCGACAACCACAGTTGACTCACTGTTATGAATTTAAGGTTTTTACCTTGATTTTCATCAAAAAATTGCTTACCGAATCCCAAAAACACACATACATTTTCTTCACTCTTTCCTCAGGAGTGAGTGGGAAATTGTGAAATTGTCGGAAAAGCGGTCAATTTCGGTAAATCTCAGCGGCAAAGGACAAAATCCGCTATTTTTTTGCGTCATCAGATATCTAAGGCCGCGCTTGAGATAGCCGCTCCAGTTATTATAGAACTCAATGACTGCAAGCTCAAAAAGTTACGATGTAAAAAATTACAAAAGCGCGCAATGCATCTTGGTTGACACATTGAGGGCTCCTTTATTTGTATTTATAATATGAGATTTTCTGGATTTGTCACAGGTCCGCTTAACACAGAGTGACAACTTTATGCGGTGCCGCATAGTATTGATACCTGTTCGACTTTATTATAATGTTTTTTAAAATGTATACATGCAGTTTTTTTACAGTTCAATTTCTTTGTAGGTTCTCAAGGAAGACGAGTACTCCATCCGTGAGTACTCTCGCGTCGGTTTAAACATGAGTAATCACGTGATTTATAATCATAAAAAATTGGCTGTACCGATAGATGACAACCGATATTTTCTGGCGTTAGTAAAAGACGAGGTGAAAGGCAACCGACTGAAGAACTCGGTCGTATTGGACAACGATCAAAACTGTTATCGTGACGACTTGTTAACGATTGTCCGCAAACACATCAAGTGCAATGTTGTCCAAGTTGCGCAACTCAACTACCTTCAACATTGTGGTATGTATATTTAAGGTCAATGCTAATATATAATTTGGCGATCTTTATCGCCACCACTCGCTTTTACGTTTGAAGTAAAGTGTATCGACGCTTTTGATTCTTCTCAAACATAATAAATATCTTTTTATTATACATTAAATATGCACAATACTAATTCCGACTTTGTACGAAAATAATTTCCACGAAACTCTTTTATCCTGTTTATTTATGTCGCATTAAAGACTCCATTTTGTGACCACTGCTTGACGCTAAAGAATTTTAGTGGAACAATTTACTAAATCTTTGTTCGATGCACACAAAGCTACAATCCCCTAAAATTCACAGGAACGCGAGCTACAAAATGATTGAAAACTTTTTCATGTTCTCTTAAATAAAAGATGCTTACTTTGTCTGCACAGGCCTGTGCAAACCGAGGAGACGTTTCGAGAACTCGAGAGCAAATTGGTATACAAACCCGAGGCCGAAGCTTTGCATAAGCAACTGCAAACACGAAAAACGTCTTTAATTCTTTTTATAAAATAATTCAATGGGAAGCAGATAAATTTATAACAATTTATTGGTAATTGATTTGCTAATTCTCTTTAAATTATTTAATTTCTTGAGCTTAATTCGGTTTGCACAGTCTAATGCAAACTCAGCAGAATATAGGCCAATCAGCACACGCGTTTTATTGTTTTTATTTTGTAACTAGGTATAGCGCAAGGTTCGTCACTATCATCGATATGCTGTGATCTTTATTTGGGTGAAATGGAAAGAACAAAAGTTCCCGAAGTTCTCCATGACGAAGAATCGTTGTACATGCGTTGGGTAGATGATCCTATTCTGCTCACCTATAATTTAGAGTTAGCGAAATCTTACTTGAACACTCTGTTGCAAGAAGACGACGAATACAATTGCATGGTAAACGTATCCAAGTCTATTACTTCGTTCGATGCACTCGCTCCTGACGGTAAAATGATCGCGCTTCTTCCCGAGGGCGAATCATGGGTATCTTGGTGCAACCTGCTCATTAATCGACATACGTTTGAAGTGAAATTTGATTATTCTGGGAGGTCACGTGAGTATTGCTTATTAAGGGTGTATAAACAAAAAGTAGACAGTTGGGCTTATTGGGGAAACGCTTCTAAATCCATCAGCGTGCAATGTTTGCGAAAAATTTTTGCGTGAAATAGCTAGTTGAAATTCAAATGTGTCATCTGGCAGTAAAACTGTCGCAAATAATTAACATTTTGAGATTAAGGTTAGTTAAGGTAAAATTGAAAGTGCCTCTATCAGCTTTTAGGTGGTTGTGTAACATTTCAGACTTTATGCCACGACTGACAAGGTCCGTTAAAAGCAACTTTAAAACGCCATAACAAGACGCTTTTACAAAATTGAAAATTTTTTTCTGAATCTTTCCAAATTCTGACGTCATCCAAGGTAGTTGGTATATATATCTATAGTATTGAAAAATCCCTTGCGTGACATAACTAAAGTAACTCGTTCCAGAATTTTCGAAAGACGGCTAAGGCTCACACACTATTGTTTCGGTTCCGACTTTTGATTGCTTGTTCATACGTCCTATAATTTTGTTGATATTTATATTCGTTTAGATATTTATAGTCGTATGAACAGCCATTTGTGTTATCCAGTACATTTATCGATAAGTTTTTCGTATTTTTTTCTTGTTTCCAACTCATTTCAAATCTATGTAATTTGACTAGTTGGCTTCCTCTGATTTTGTTGGATGAAGATAGAGCAAGTTCTATTTCAATCCGATTTTTTCGATTTACGCATCCGACTGTTGGGTGCTCACTTCTTATGTGTTCACACGATAAAATCGTATCGTGTGAACAGGCCTTTAAAAGGAGCGTTTTCACAACTTTAAACAGTCATAAAAATTGGAGCGATTTTGCCAACTTGAAATCATTTTCCCCTGACACTTTTGAAATCAGGTCTAAATTTAATATCCCAAGTAAAAATTTATGCTGAAAGGGGCACTAAAAGAGAAAGTACAAGTGTAACACGAGTTGAATAATTTGAATATATTATTTCATACGAATAAAAATTCTACATAAATTTCAAACTATGAAATACATTCGGATGAGAATTGTTTTACGGAGAAGCACTTTTGGAATAACCGGCGCACGAACAAAATGACACATCTAAAAAGCAATTTGAACACATTTAGTGTTAAAATATGGCTCGAGCTGCTTAAGATAACAAAATTTCAGGAAATTTCGCTAACTTGCTCTCGCAAACGCTTAGCATCCAAGATTTAAAAAATTATCAGTCGGTATAAGGCGTCGATTACATTTTGGGACTTGCTTCCAATTGGAGTTATTCATTTATTTATTTTTTACTAGTCTCCAATGAAACTTCTTTGTAAGACTTTCTTTCTACTGTATTTTAAGATGTGAAGCCATATTTGTCGTTTGAATCATCTCGTAATGCTGGAATAAGTATGATGAGAAGCCTGATGGCAGCTTTGCAGACAAAAATACATCAGATCTTTCTTGATTCGGAGTTAAACTCTAACCTGACTGTCGAAGAGAATTTAAGCGATTCATTTGGCTATATTGCCAGACGCTTTCATGCTTACGTCACTGAATTACCTCAAGGTAAGCGAAGATTTTTATGGAACATACGTCATCTTTTTATTATTCATGAGTGCTAGTCTACAAACAGCACGTAGTTTTTAACGATTCTGTAAAAATTCAGTGCGTACACATGGGTAACTTAAAGTTGATGCTTTGTTAATTGTTACTCATTTCACGTCTTGTCCGATTGTTACTCATGTTACATCTCCGATCGTTACACATGTTACTTCTCTAATTGTTACTCATGTTAGTTCTCCGATTGTTACTCATGTTACTTCTTTAATTGTTACTCATGTTACCTCTCTAATTGTTACTCATGTTACTTCTCTGATTGTTACCCATGTTACTTCTTTAGTTGTTACTTATGTTACTTCTCTGATTGTTACCCACGTTACCTCTCTGATTGTTACACATGTAACCTCTCGGGTTGTTACCCGTATTACTTCTCTGATCGTTACCCATGTTATTTCTCTAATTTTTAGTCATGTTACCTTTCTGATAGTTACTCATGTTACCTCACTAATTTTTCTTATGTTACCTCTATGATTGTTACCCATGTTACCTCTTTGATTATTGCCCATGTTATCTCTCTAATTGTGGTCCATTTTACTTCTTTCATTGTTACCCATGTTCCTCCTCTTATTCTTATCCATGCTACCTCTCCCGTTGTAACCCGTTTACTGATATTGAGTTGTGTTTTAGATGTTTATAAACAGTTAGCGTTTAGCTTCCACTTGGAACACTAACTGTCATATAAATTTTGACCACTGAATATAATTCTGCTTGTATATCCTGGCTGACGTTTTGTTACTGCCTCAGAGTAAGAATTCCTTTTAGAAACTTGTGCGCGATTAAGGGGCTGTATTTTTAACCCCCGTTTTTATTTCAGAGTTGAGATTTGAGCCCTGCTTGAGTAACTTGAACTGCATGAGATTTCATTTCTGGGTTGATTTATTTCCAGAGTTGAGATCAGGCTGATTAAGCAACAAAGGTACCATATTATTGAGCCACACTAACGACAAACGACGTTTTATGTTTTAAATTTAAAAATCTATTTTCATTTTTGACATGAAATTTTACATTGCAGGCTTCTAAATGCGGTGCATACTGGTCTTGTCCAATTTTCTTTATATAAAGAATGTATGTCAACCATGATGCATTGCGCGTTAATACAGCCATAATGACGGCCATTTTGAGAAAACGGCGGATTTTGTTATTGTCTTTATGCAACTTTTACAAACGATAATTTTTCATGTGAAATAAAGTTTTCAACCAATTTTTTTTTTTGCAAACTTTTTACATAAATTCGACTACGAGGGACGCGATTGAATTCCTTGTACTGCAAGCTCAAAAAGTAACGATGTAAACATAAACAAAGGTGCGCAATGCATCTTGGTTGACACGCATTGTTTAAGTCCGTTTAGTCTGCTTTATTGCTTCTTGTGTTGAAAATGTATTGTGCGTATTTCAATACCCATAATCCGTGCAACAATTGTTATAGTTTTGTGGGTAGCCGCTGCGCTATGCTTCACTGAAAAAGTCTCTGTCCTTCTGTCTGTCTGTCCCAGATCTGTCTGTCGTAATCCTCGGCGATAGTCAGATATTTGAGCGATGGCGAACAATACCGTTTTTTGTGTTTGTCGCTTTGTCGAAAAAATATCGTGAGTTGTTTTTCATTCGACATAAAGACTATAACAATGAATCCAAGCGCATATACATGTAGTATGAGTGTAATAATACATTTCCTATGCGTGAACTGTGAAGCGTCTGGCCGCGTACAAATCGGAAGCGTATAAGCGGAAGTTATTTGCAGTAAGCACAGAATCGTCGAATGTTTTATTTTGAGAAATATCAACTAAAAACATTACGGCCCAAAAATTTACTTGTATAGTTGTACGATATTCCTTGTTATTTATTTAAGGAGAACATAACATGAGCTCGATTTATGGAATGTACAGACGAACAACTTACTTTTCATAAAACTTCAGAAAAAAACTAATAAATAATAATCAAGATATTATTCAAATGCAGACTAGCAAGCGATCACAATTATCAATTATATCTCGTTCCAGCGACCAGTACTAGCAACGTCTTGTACTTAGTAGGATGTATTGTCTGGTATATAGTCCAATTCGGTATTATTTACATTGCTTATACATTTTATCGCTTTACTCATACAGACTTACACTACTCTGTTTGTGAGTTCAATCAAACGCTGATAGGAAAATATTGTTATTTTGAGAAATATTAACTAAAAACATTATGGCCCAAAAATTGACTTGTATAGTTGTACGATATTGCCTGTTGTCATCTATTCAAGCGGAACTAAACATGAGATCGATTTATGGGATGTAAAAACGAACAATTTTTCTTCAAAAAACTTCATAATACAAAAATAAATCAAAGTCATTATATTATTCAAATGCCTTCTCACTAGAGACCACAAATAACAATTATATCTCGTTCCAGCGACCGGTATTAGCAACTTGTACTTAGAGGCTGATTACATGGAGCAATCTCAGCCCGGGCACAGCTTCAGGCTGTTTCGCCAGGCCAAAATTTTCGCCTAATTTTATGTGATTATATAGTCAATTTCAGCCCGTTGTTTAGAAATATAATTTTATTTGAATAAGGCTCATGTCATCTACTTTATGTAGAAATAATATTCTTGACAGGCTACCCACATCTACGCATTGCGTACCTATTTTTATTCACTCAAACTTGTCACCCTCATTAGTTTGGACGATGCATTGTAATCATTTTTGCTTATTCTAGTGCCGTCGTAATTTTTAATGTTTATTTCATTTTCAGGAGCTCACACAAACAACAATCCCAATTTTTTTCTCCATGGTTTGGAAGATATAATTGAAAGCTACTACAACTCAGCAAAAAAGTTCTTGAGAACCAACTTTTCGAAGGAAAGGGTGTTCATCCTTTTCTTTGAAAGCATTTTAAAGACCCTGAAATCTAATTTGTATAGGTACGGTACACTCATCCATTTGGTAGAGGATAAATTGTCATCTCTTACATAAGATTTTTGCGCAACGCTAAATATGTAAGACAGTGTTTAGAGGAGTTGGGTCCCTTCGACAGAAAGTGTTTTCTCACAAATGAAACCGCGGTCACGAAACCTACAACCAGTAATCCACTGGGAACTGGCGTATATCGACAAGTTAATTATAACAACATTGAATGTTTTGTTTGAACAATGGTTTACATTAATGTTTTGTTTGACTTCAGCTGGCTATTATAAACATGACGTGCAGTATAAGTCTTGTAACCGTACTGAATTGATGAAAACGGTTACACATAGAAAAATATATGAAATTTTCAACATCTAATTGGCATTATTGATATCATCATTTTTGTTTGAAACATAACAAAGCCTTTAGCATTGGTATAGTTTTACATAAATTGTAATTTGTACATCATCATAAACTCTTACGCTTGGACTTTTGACATGTTTTATATTTTTTACTTACATACGTGCATGGTACAGTTTTGGTTTATTTGATTTGTGCTGCTCTGTTAGAGGCTGGTGCAAAATATTGAGCGTAAACCATATTTGTCCATTCTGTTTGCAGTTTTGTTGTGTTTTACTTTTCACTTATATGGTAGTTAATTGGCTTAGGCATATTTTCTTAAGCTTTCGTTTGAATTCAAGTTTATGGCATAAGAATCGTACTGTGTTTAAAATTTTTATTTTACTTTGTATACTATAAATACATAAACCGGCATTCATACACGGAAGTGATAACTTATTTATATATTTAAAATATTTAAATAAAAGACAACATCAGACAATGACAATTTTTTATTGCGAGAAATTTGATCGTGTGAAGTGTGAACTGCCCTTTATAGTTCATTGAAATGGTTCTTGGTTCTTGTTCTTTAGTTCTTGTCATATTGTGCACGTTCATGGGGTCACGTGGTTGTGAACGTTACGTTACCCGCCAAACCAAATTCTTATTTAGTCAAAGATAGGAGCTTGAAATATTTTGGTTGTAATATCTTCGATTATTGAACTGTACCTGCTGGATTCATGTTCTTCTTTTCTTGAGTTAATGTTCCCATAATGTATATAAAACAGGTGAGCTTAAAAATCTATTCGTGCGCCTTGTTTTATCTTGATTTCTTCGTAAGAAATATTCTTTGCACGAAATGTCAGATTATATGAATGTACAATCCAATGTCCATTGCAAAAGTTTGATAACTTATGGTTTGAATTTACGATTGAATTCCAAATCGCCTACAGGTAATAATTCAAGGATTTCGAAGCTACAGAGATCAAGTTGTTGTTGAGCCATTCAGTCCCAAGCACAATGTTATTGGTACGTCAATGATGCACAGTTCATAGCGACGAGTGTTTTGTATGGCATTCATTCTTTAAGTTACATTGTTTTTCCTTGCACGTGACGTTAACTCCTTTATTAATTGAATATGTACAGCAATTTGTTTGTCAAAATTTTTAACTGCTTTGAATACATAAATTTACGCGAATTCTGAAGACTGTTGAGTGTTGACCACATAAGAATTTGGAAGCCATCATTTGTGTGGGGGAGGAGGCAGTTGATATTTTCCTCAACTAATAATGAAGTATGGGACTTCTTGACTTCTGACTATCAAGCGTTGAAATTACTTGTCATAATGTGTTCACACCATACTTTTTGCCCTACTAATGTTGAAAATTTGCTCAACTTTTTATTTTTCAAACTTTCTGGGGGAGGGACAGCTCATGCTACTCTACATTTAAGTTTTAGTACACCATTCAGTGGAGTGAAGGAATTTTATGTATGTGCCTTTAATGCAGTTACTATGTATGACTGAAATTCATCATTTGCTCATCATTAGAGCACATTGGACATTCATTGCATAATTTGACATATCAATAGCACTGTAGAATATTCAATAACACAAAGGACAATTGAGAGCAGATGATGACAATCAATAGCATTTATTTATGCTGCATAAAAATCGATAATATTCAAGTATCATTAATGTGCCTTCATTAAAGTCAAAGGAAGGATCAATAAGATAAAGTAGACAGCACGCATTCAAATAAACATGTCTAAACTTTGTATGCAAGACATCTTTTCCATTGGAAATAGTCTGGTGCAGATAGTCCGTCACCAGTACAACACTGCACTTCTCTGTCATACAAAGTAAGCTCAAGGTAAGATTGAGTTCATTTGAATTTCTCTTTATTTATTGTTCCTTTCTTTTTTTCAATGCACCCTAATGCTACATACTTTCCTGATTGTTATACGGCATAAATAAATGCTATTGATTGTGCTCTTGACTGTTCCTTTGTGTTAATGAATATTCTACTGCGCTATTGATAAGTAAAAACATGTAATTGAATGTCCAATGTGCTCTAATGGTGAGCAAATGGTGTTAGTGCTATTGATTGTCAACAAGACCTCTTTATTGTTCCTCTGTATTGATGAATACTATACCACATTATTGATTAGGCAAAGCGTGTTATTGATTGTTTTATGTTCTCTAATGATGACAAAATGGCATAGTAGAACTTTACTTGTATTTATTGTAAATTGGTTGAGTCCAAATCAGCAAGGTGCAATGGGAAAGATACCTTCTTATGAATCTATTTACAGAAAATAAAGATATTTAATGAAATGTAAGAAATTCTTGTCTTAAGTTCACCCAAAAACAAAATTTGTTTACAAAATCAATGTTTCTTTTATTTGTAATACTTTGAAACAGAAAATTTTGAAATGATTGTGTATCATAATAATTCAGTCAGCAACGGTCTACAAGTGCAATGCAGATGCTAGGAGTTTGCATCAATAATTTGTATTGACTATGGTTTGACCTCTCAGTGATGATTTAGTTATTGTACTCTTGTACTACATACTTATTTTATGATTACTAATTTTTTTTCTTTTTTCTGTTTGTTTATAGTTGGACGAAATGGTTCAGGAAAAAGCAATTTTTTCTACGGTAAAACATTTTCGTTTGCAGCCCCATGAAATTTATGGTACTGACTGTATGATATTGTTTTAAAACATTTTTTTAAAGTCCTAATGGGAGAAATCTATTTTAATCTTTTATCATGTACAATTGCACTTGCCTTCATTTTGTGTACATTAGAACATACTTTAGTCTTCAGTATGGTTAATGTCATGGGTGACTTTATTTCACTGCCAGCTTTAGCCTAAAAATTTTTTGCAGTTTTTTCACTAATCAGAAGTTTAGTAAATGTGACAAAATATTTTTGCTTCATTTTTAAAAGTGGCACTCGGCTAAAAATGACTTGGCAGGGAAAAAGTTAATTGTAAAAGCATTAGACTTAACTACATCATTAGATTACTTAATGATTAAACTGTTTCATATGTTTTATCCTTATGGTTATGACAATGTTGAATAGATGCTAAATGAGTTGTGGAATTTAGATAAGATATACAGACGTCTATTTTCCAGAATATTTCCATCATATGTTGATTGGAGAGTGTGTGACTCAGGAATCTGGTCCTTTGTAAAACAATATTGTGCATCTAGATAAAGATTTCAGCTTTTATCTCTATCACAACATTAATTACCAGGCATAATTTCATTGTAATCTTACAAAATGATATGTTATCCGTTTGGAAGTCTGAATCCAAATCCTCTTTAATGATTGAAATACTCAACACACTCTTGGGATATTCTACCAACTCAAACCAACATCTGCCGCGTATATAGTTTACTGGAATTTCGACACGTGAAGCTTTATTTTTCGAATTTTTTTTTAACTGAAGCAACTGATTATTTTTTTAAATACTTTTTGTAGCCATACAGTTCGTTCTCAGCGATGAATTTAGTCACATGCGGCAAGAGGAAAGACAAGCCCTCCTCCATGCAAGTTGAATTTATTTCTTATCGCAGTTGATTCATAAAAAACAGCATAAACTTTCTTAGACTCAGTACTGTAAGCATTCTTTGCCTTGAATTAAACCAGTACGTCATAGCCAGCTTCTCACGCTTGTTCGTGGTATTTAAATATTTTGGTGTTCACTCACCGTAGAAACAATCGATTTCTAAAGAAATAAATAATGTAATGATGAAAAATTTTACATAGCGTGAACAAACTTGTGAGTTGGCTGTGCCACTGGACTTTAGTTTTGTTGAAAATATTCCGAAGAAGAGTTTTCATTTGAATTAATTATTTTGATTTCGATACGGTGCTACCGAGCCAACACATTCCAATAGTTTTCAAAATTTTACTGCTATTTTAACTATTTTGTTTCTACCAACCAAAGGCGTGCGGGAGCTATCTTTTCTGAAGGAGGGCAGTAAATTTTTCGCCACTCACAATAAATGTTTTGCCCGATTAGCGTTAAAAATTTGCCCAACTTTTCAATCTTCAAACTTTCTTACCTCCCGTCTCGTACGCCTATGCTAACACTTCACCTGCAATGTGTTCATATTTTCAGGAGGGAAGTGGTCCGCGTGTTATTTCAGCATTTGTCGAGATCATCTTTGACAACACGGACAACAGATTGCCAGTTAGTATCTACAGAAATTATTAAAATTCCTGTTTTTATTTTTGAATCTGCTAACCTTGGTGAACGTTTGTGCCGTTTCCAGCCTGTTAATAAATGAAAAATAAATGATTTGAACCCTGGAGCACCATTGAATCTGAAGATGACTACTGTTAAGGTTGTCAACACTTCAGCAAACGTCAATCATTGAACTCGCGATACTCCTGGGTTTAAATTATTAACTTTAATGGCTAAAATGTTTCTCTGGACTGTTATATTTATGTATGTGTCAATAGTGCCAATTGAAAATAAACCATTACAATTATCTGAATTAGCAAACATCTTAAAATCACTGCTCCATATATGCAATTAATGTTTGCTCCCGAGGAAAATAGTGAGTTTTGTTTTCCATGGATCTCAATGTTTCCCGAGACGAGGTAGCGACTTAAATGTTTTGTTACTTCGGAAGAAAGATCATAGATTTCGGCAGCTTTTTAATGAAATCAACGTCCTTTAGGAGGATTCGCTAGGCGAAATTTCGTTGCAAAATGTTATAAGGGTGAGGATGAGTTTGAGAAAGTGTTTTTTAGTTTTTGCTCCACAGTTGTTTTATTTGTTATGATATTAAAATGAGCGGGCAAAAATTTTCTCCCCATATTTTCCTGGCGGGAAACAACGCATTAATTTTGAGTCCTGTGACTCCGAATGAACCAATCACATACACAGCACTTATATAACAACGAAATATATTGTATCTTTCAAGGCTTATGACCCGAATGGCCACAAACAAAGATAAAATGGTGGAACCTATACGTTTTTTGTTATCAATAAATTATTGGAATTGTTAAGGGTTCGCACAGGGCTTTGAGTTGAGCTCATTATGTATTAAAAAAGCAACAATCTTTATGACTATTGGAAATTATCAAGCGTTGTATACAATGACTTTATTGGGTTACAACGTTCGGATCGGTTGCCTTAATAAACCGTCAATCAAATATGAACATTCGGTGTGCAGCAGTGATGGATTTAGCCTTTGCTAGAAGCGGTGCCGGGGATGTGTGTAAATTTACCTACGAAAAATCAATATACCTACCAATTTATCTAAAACAACTTTCAAACTACACCTTTCTCAGTGTTTCAAGTGAAATACACAAAAAGTCTGACATAGACATAGTTTTTCGGGGCTACGTTGCTGATTTTGATTTGATAGCGGTGTATGACTCTATTTCTAATGATTTAAAAAAGTCTCACTAAAGCTTGTCCTCCACCAGACACCCCCTGCAAGTTTTGCTTTTATTTCACTCCACTCTCCTCGAAAACATGTCGACAGAGCTCCCTTGTGCACAATGTTGCGTATTGTTTTAGACCACGATCAATCAGCGAGATTTTTCATCATAGAGTCTGTGTCTTAAGACGTATCCCTATGTTTGTAATGTGTGTGTTTTAGATGGAGAAAGATGAAGTTTCTCTACGGCGAGTTATTGGCTCGAAAAAAGATCAATTTTTCCTCGACAAAAAAAGTGTCACAAGAAATGACGTCATGAATATGCTGGAAGGTGCTGGCTTTTCAAGAAGCAATCCCTATTACATTGTCAAACAAGGCAAGGTAAAGTGGCGACCGTTTCCTCTTGTAGTTTTTAACATACAGGGTCCGACTTCGTTTTATGCTAGAAAAGAACTTTGGCATTTTCGCTCAGCAACATTAAAAAATAGTCTTTTCAGGCTCTTTGATAAGATTTGCAATAGCATGTACCATAGCGTCGCATATCATCAGGTATTTTCTGATCTTCAAAACTAGCAATCTCCAGGGTAGTGCGAGCAGAGCCCTGTATTTGTAAGAGTTGGGACACATTTTGTTCTCTGCATTTTGCCTTATAATGAAGGGGATTGGATAAATATGGTCACATGGGCATCTAGCCGCCATTTTTGTTCTAAAAGCGCAAATTATCACCATTTTCTACATAATAGATAAATTATCAAAAAATGTTTTGATAATTTATCTATTATGTAGAAAATGGTTTTGATTTTATGTTGCGTTATAATAGTGCGAATCAAAGCGATGAAAAAGTAGAAACATACGCCCAGCCTTGTGGCAAAAGCAGTATTAAAGGCGTATAAATTACATACTGCATTAAATAAATGTTTTTCTATTATTATGACACCTATAAACAACTGTGGCCGGTTGCACGAAGGCCGAATAGCGCTATCCACTGAATAGCAATATTTTTGAATGCTTCAAAAAATCTCTTAAATCGGAAAAATCTACTGTTTGAAATGAAAAATCAATGAAATAAAATATTGGTTCTAGGATTACAAAATTTTATTATCGCAAAGAAAATATAAACACTTTTTTCACAAATTTTAAAAAATTACTATCCAATGGATAGCACTATCCAGCTTCGTGCAACCGGTCCTCGAATTCTAAAGGTAGGGATCGTTGTCTATTCATGTATGGTCGTTGTCTATTCGGTTCCAATATGGTTCCACCATTTAATGCTCTATATTTACTGGCTTTTGGAACAAAAATGGCGGACCCTAAGCAATTTACTTCTGGTGTCCCAACTCTTCTAATACAGGGCTCTAAGTGCAAGGTCACATGGAAAGACGAAACGTTTTCATTTTGAATTTATTGGTTCAACGCTGTCATTCTGGTGACATCTATTCTTACGTTGTGAAGTTATCTCGAGTTATTGATTTGTTGAACGAATCATTGATATCTATTTAACTAACTGGATATACAAATGGGCCTGGAACTTGTCGTCAAAAACATTAATGCTACAAGGAAATTTTGCTTGAAAAACTTCCACTCGAAAAATTATTTTTGTCATTCACTCCCCCTGATATACAAAATGACCTGCGCTGTACGCACTAATGGCGAACCAGACGAAAAATGAACGTATTAAATTGTATATTTAAATTTATTAAACACGTTCGGATGCAAAGAAATTCCACGGCAAAGAAATTTTGATTCCATACAGACACGAGACAGCTATTATGGGGGAAATTTAATTGCCCTTAAAGGAGTGAAACAAATGGCGGCTAGACTGCAGAGTTTAGCCATTGATCTCGAAAAAAGACTGGATCAAGCAAGTCTATATTTATAGTAAACAAATTTTGAAGCCACCGCCGCCGTTAGTAAGGGAACAACACATCGAAAGATTTTTTCTTATAAAAAGGCTTATAATTTTAAAGGATTGATCAGTTTATGATCGTAAATGAGATTATTTAATCCGTTTGTACTTCTGAACTACGGTTCCAACAATTCTAGGTATTTCCATGCAGTTGTGGGCTATTTTCCATAGTTTTCCCATACCACAGTAGAGTTACCGATGACAAAAATCCCTGCATTTTGAACATATTTCATCATAATTCAACGTATTTTTAGCTCTTCTATAAACTGATTTATCTTTTGATTATTCTCGTAAAAATCCACAATATATTTGCCCCTTATTTTCGAAAGTTGGTCTTTTTTAATGGCGGCGCTCCTTTCTTTTTGTTTTCAACTTTTGTGCTAGACCACATTGAACTAGAATACATGGAACGCTACCTGAAGCAAATAATTGAAGCCGAATTTTACACCCAGACACGCGAGATTTTACCCCAGACACGCGTGTGTAGTGTTTTGAGATTCACTCGCCGAGTAATAATTGATTGACTACACACGCGTGTCTGAGGTAAAATCACGGCTTCAAAAAATTATTAGGGTTTTGTATTAGAGGTAGCGCTCCGTGTATTTTAGTTCAATGGTGCTAGATGCTTGATCCAATCTTATTTCGAGATCAGTGACTTTAGCGGACACCTGAAACCTGAGGCGCTTACATGTGGAGTACGGGCTCGTGTTGTCATTTTTGCTGGAAGACTGATGTAAATGATGTTAATGATGAGTTTGATTTATAATACACGTAAGAAAGTTTAAAATTTAGTTTTCGAATCATTTAATAACACTTGATAGTTAATCATATTTTTAGTAAAAAGAATAACAAATGAACATTTCATTAAATACATGAACATTTAAATGATTAAATCATACGGAGCTTAAATATTAAGGTGAGGGTTTAGGGTTTAAGTTAGGTTTAGGGTTGTGTTAGGGTATGGGTTAGGATTAAGGTCTGGATTAGTCGTCAAAAAATTTAATTTAATCTTCCCGCTAATTTTCATGCGCGCAAGCTGTATTTTTTGGGCAGCCCGAAAATTATCGAGGTTTATAATGATTAACATTTTGATATATTATTGTAGTCAACTTCTTACTTCGAAATTTATTTCTTCTATAAGTGAAATAAAAATAATTTGTTATTTGGTTGTTTTAGCACATGGTGTATTTTGTCTAATAAAGTATTTATATTCTTGGAGAGTTATTTACGATTATTTAACAGGTTATGCGCCCAGACCGCTCTGGTGCCGTTTATACCTAAGAATAAGAAAGTCCGAAACGACGGAGGTTAATTCTCGCACTTAAATAGGTTTGATCTTTAGCGTATTTTTTCGGATAAATATTTGCCGCGAAATGGCGGAAATAACAAAGATTGAGAACCTCAATGGCAAGAACTATCAAACATGAAAGTATAATATGAAGTTAGTAATAATGGAAGAGGTCTGTGGGTATTCATTTATGGAACACAGGAACAACCCGAGGAAGATGCCACTGTGCAAGTGAGGAACGCATATCGTTTGAAGTCTAATAAAGCGTATTCATTAATTGCATTAATCGTGGAGAAACAATTGCAGGTTCATAGCAGCACAACAACCGATCCATTACAAGCATGGGAAATTCTTCAAAAACAGTTTGAGTTTGTCTCAAGACAGTGAAAGAGTTTATGCTGCCACGATGAAGGAAAACGATGACCTCATGGAACACATTACTTAAATGACATCATTGGCTGAGCAATTGCGTGATATGAAAGAAGAGATTTCAGAAAGAAAATTCACCACAGTGCTTTTATGAAGTCTCCTTGAATCGTATGGAAACATCATCTCAAGCCTGAATGCTCAGAATATCGATGATTTAAAATGGGATAGTGTGAAAAATCTCTTGGTTGAAGAATTTGTAAAGCGAAAAGAAAAATAAAACGAACCACACCAAAAGAAGACGCATTATTTTCAAAGAGAGGTAATAATTTGGATGGAAAGTATCAATATGGTGACAAATGGCATGGTCGGCAAAGCAGAGACAATTTTGGAAGTCAAAAGAGAACAGATCATATGAAAGTAATTAACTGTTTTAAATGTAAGAAGTATGGTCATATTACTAGAAACTGTCCACAAATCAAGAGGCACTATCAGTCGAACATATCTTCTGAAGGTGAGCAATCTCAACAGAGAAATGATGGAATAGCTTTAAGTTCTACAGCTATCAATAGTAAACAAAATGATGAAGGGTTCATCGTTAGTGGTCCGACGAAACGCATGACTTTCCAAAGGAAATTGTTAACTAATTATAAAGAATTTGGCAAGGCATCTAACATTTATCTAGGAGATGATCGAATCATCAAAGGATATGGAGAAGGAAATATGAAACTAGCTTATAGTGATGGGACAGACAACATAACATTGAACTTTCATAAAGTATTGTTTGTTCCTGATAAAAAGAAAAATTTAGTATCAGTCCCTGCAATGACTAAAATGGGAGCAAAGTTCTCGTTCGATAAAGAAAATTGTTATGTGAGCAAAAATGGAAAAACAACAAATGTGGGTTGTTTGAGTGGTAACCAGCTGTTCATTGTAAACAAAGCTGATCACGCTAATATTACAACGACAAAGGCTCCTACATTTGAGCAATGGCACTGCAGGTATGGTCACCTGAATTTTGGGTATATAGAAAAGATTGCAAAAGGAAACTTAGTCAAAGGCATGCAGTATAGGAAGGAAAATTTCGATCATGATTGTGAAGCATGCGCAAAGGCAAAGATACATAAAATACCCACCCCGAAACAGAGCTCAAAAACAACAAATCGACCTCTTGAACTAATTCATAGCGACATCTGTGGACATTTGAATACTACTTCATTTGGAGACAGTAGATACATTTTGACATTTACTGATGACCACAGCAAATACGTCACAGTATATTTTTTAAAGGAAAAATCTGAAGTTTATGAAAAATTCGAAGAATATGTTGCAATGGTAGAGAATTGGACTGGCCTAAAGATCAAAGCATTGAGAACAGATAATGGGGGAGAGTACACATCGAAAGTCTTCAAAGAGTATTTCACAAACAAAGGTATTATTCATCAATATACAAATCCATATTCCCCTGAGCAAAATGGTGTGTCCGAAAGACTCAATCGAACACTGTTGAAGTCAGCTAAGTCATTTGACTCTGAAGATGACTACCGCTAAGGTTGTCGAAACGTCAGTCAACAACAACAAAAACAGTCCTTCTCAGGACTAAACTAACCTGGACGATCTACATCTACAAACATGTAACGATACTCCCGGGCTCAAACCATTTACTTTATTAAGTCAATGTTGTTTCATGTGTTAAATTATTCGAGATTCGGCAATAACATTTGGATAGTACGTGAAATATGATTTTATTGTGGAACAAATAACAAGTTAAGTATCTGCGAACAACGATATTACAATAACAAGTTCTCAATGTCACTTGAT